AACGCACTTTTCAGCCTACTATGCAAGGCCCGATTTGCCTTATAAGCCAAGTTTTCCTGAATTAATATATTTTCTCTAATTTTTTTCTTATGAAATGATAAAGCTACCCATTTCATTATGTATAAGGTCAATTTTTTTATATTGGAGTTAAAATTAACGCAGATATATGACCGAACCTAACCATCCCTACCTAACCTAACCTAACCTATCTTTATAGGTTAGGTTAGGTTAGGTAGTTGAAAAAGTTAGGTTAGGTTAGGTTAGGTAGGTTAGGTAGTCGAAAAACAATTAATTCCTGAAAACTTGGCTTATTAGGCAAATTGGGCCTTGCGTAGTAGGCTGAGAAGTGCGTTCTGGCTACTAGGTACGACATATATATATATATATACATACATATATATATATATATATATATATATATATATATATATATATATATATATATATATATATATATATATATATATATATATATATATATATATATATATATATATGTCGTACCTAGTAGCCAGAACTCACTTCTCAGCCTACTATGCAAGGCCCAATTTGCCTAATAAGCCAAGTTTTCATGAATTAATTGCTTTTCGACTACCTAACCTACCTAACCTAACCTAACCTAACTTTTTCGGCTACCTAACCTAACCTAACCTAACCTAACCTATAAAGATAGGTTAGGTTAGGTTAGGTAGGGTTGGTTAGGTTCGGTCATATATCTACGTTAATTTTAACTCCAATAAAGAAAAATTGACCTCATTCATAATGAAAAGGGTAGATTTATCATTTCATAAGAAAAAAATTAGAGAAAATATATTAATTCAGGAAAACTTGGCTGATTAGGCAAATCGGGCCATGAATAGTAGGCCAAAAAGTGCGTTCTGGCTACTAGGTACGACATATATATATATATATATATATATATATATATATATATATATATATATATGTCGTACCTAGTAGCCAGAATGCACTACTCGGCCTACTATGCAAGGCTCGATTTGCCTAATAAGCCAAGTTTTCCTGAATTAATATATTTTCTCAATTTTTTTTCTTGTGAATTGATAAAGCTACCCATTTCATTATGTATGAGGTCAATTTTTTTTTATTGGAGTTAAAATTAATGTAGATATATGACCAAACCTAACCAACCCTTCCTAACCTAACCTAACCTTTCTCTATAGGTTAGGTTCGGTTAGGTAGCCGAAAAAGTTAGGTTAGGTTAGGTTAGGTAGGTTAGGTAGTCGAAAAACAATTAATTCATGAAAACTTGGCTTATTAGGCAAATTGGGCCTTGCATAGTAGGCTGAGAAGTGCGTTCTGGCTACTAGGTACGACATATATATATATATATATATATATATATATATATATATATATATATATATATATAAAATATATAAAACCCAGCAATATATATATATATATATATATATATATATATATATATATGTCGTACCTAGTAGCCAGAACTCACTTCTCAGCCTACTATTCAAGGCCCGATTTGCCTAATAAGCCAAGTTTTCCTGAATTAATATATTTACTATAATTGTTTTCTTATGAAATGATAAAGCAACCCTTTTCTCTATGTATGAGGTCAATTTTTTTTTATTGGAGTTAAAATTAACGTAGATATATGACCGAACCTAACCAACCCTACCTAACCTAACCTAACCTATATTTATAGGTAAGGTTAGGTTAGGTAGCCAAAAAAAGCTAGGTTAGGTTAGGTTAGGTAGGTTAGGTAGACGAAAAAACATTAATTCATGAAAACTTGGCTTATTAGGCAAATCGGGCCTTGAATAGTAGGCTGAGAAGTGCGTTCTGGCTATTAGGTACGACATATATATATATATATATATATATATATATATATATATATATATATATATATAAAATATATAAAACCCAGCAATATATATATATATATATATATATATATATATATATATATATATATATATATATATATATATATAAAATATATAAAACCCAGCAATATATATATAATATATAAAATAAAAAATTCCAAAGCGTCAGCTCCATAAATCAACTCAGTTGTTTAGTGTTTTAGTAATACAGGTTGGACTCTAGCTCTTGACCTTTTAAGCGGATTCCCCTTTAGCCTTTCTAAACTTATTTTAGTTTATAACATATTCCTTGAATTATTTAACATATACATATTCCTTAAATTATTTAAATGAATAAATGGGACAGAGAGGGTGTCGAGGAGCAGAGGCAAGATAAAAGAGAAACATTGTACGGTATAGATGGTGATGGGCTCGTAGCCTAGTCAGTCAGGATAAGCACCACTGGGTATGGTCAGAAACTGGTTGAGTGATACTGCAGATAGCCTTTATCTTGTTTTTTTCACGATAACAATTGAAGTCCCCGTGGCGTAGTGGCAAAACACTCGCCCGGCACTTCGCGAGCGATTTGGCTTGGGTTCATATCCTCTGGCTGGGAATGATTGACTGGGTGCCAATCCTTAACTGTAGGCTCTGTTCACCCAGCAATGAACGGGTACCTGGTTGTTAAACGATTTGGCGGGTCGTATTCCAGGGAAAATCAGGATTAAGGACCTGCCCGAAACGCTATGCGTGCTAGTGACTGTACAACAATGTAAAAATTCTTGTATAAATAAATAAAAATGTATATATATTCACATGCTTTACTTCCATTTATATCAAAGTCAGCCATAAGTGCCGTTTTCTTTAACTGAAATAGAAAATTGTACTTGCAAGACTATATGGGTAATTCTGTTATTTTATGTAGCTTCTTTTAAAAATCCTTAATTGCTCTCAACTCTTTAAGACATAACTGTAACATGCTCGTGTCCGAAGCTAGACACAAATACAACAAAATTATTAATGATGGTAACAGAGTCCATTTAATGTGGATTCCATCTCACGTTGGCCTCCGAATGCATGATAGAGCTGATAAGTTAGCCAAAGAATCTGCCTTTAAAGGAGACGTTGAGCGTAACCTTGGATTGTCAATAAGCAGTCTGAGAGCAGCAGTACACCAAGAACTTCAACAAAATCTTGTAGCGCTGAAGCAAAGTGAAATCGACAACAGTAATTCCATTTATCATCATACTATCATGCAAGAGGAGCCACACATCTACCTTGAGGTTACCTTGAGGTTACCTTGAGGTGCTTCCGGGGCTTAGCGTCCCCGCGGCCCGGTCGTCGACCAGGCCTCCTGGTTGCCGGACTGATCAACCAGGCTGTTGGACGCGGCTGCTCGCAGCCTGACGTATGAGTCACAGCCTAGTTGATCAGGTATCCTTTGGATCTATGGTTCATCCAATAAAATAACAAAAAATCAGCAGACTTCTAGATGTTACTACTGCTCGGCTTAGACTCGGTTACAAGTATCTCTGGGAATTCTCATTATCTGCTGATGTAAATCTGGCCAAATGTAAACTGTGTCAACAAAATTATTCGCACACCCTCCGTCACTATGTGATGGAGTGCGAAAAGATATGTGAATTCATAGGCAATTCTATAACAAATGTTCCAACAGTGTGTAAATATTTCATTCAAAATGATCTGCTACCAGAAATTTTAACCAAATATCCCCAGTTTGCTAACTGTAGGTAGTAACTAAGAGTGATTGTAACCTATCCACCGCTGCCCACTGGATGGGGGCGGTGTGCAGGACAAACATATCAATTGTGACACTAGCTCTCCACATATGTCAGTTGCTTAATTTAGAAACTGTACTTGTGGTCGATCTCGAACCCATTGTTGATGTGACGACTTATACTGAATTTTGTAACTAGCTCATCAAAATTGTAACTTGCTTAGCTAAATGAATTGTGTGATTCAGTCCCTGAGCTCATTATGTGCCTCTGTAACCCTTTCCACTACCGCCCACAAGATGGGTATGGGGTGCATAATAAATGAACTAAACTAAACATAGTTTTCTACCTAGTGCTTTATCTCGCACTGTATCTAGTGCTACCCAATCCCAGAATATTTGTACCTAAGCCATATTACTTTACCATTATAATCTTAGGTATCATCTGATATCATGGTTGTTGAGTGCATATTCTACTGCATTATTCCTTGAAATGATCCTCATATTGTGCTTCAGTGAACCATTGTATAACCCTGAAATGTTATCCTAATGTACCTAATAATCCTTGTTCATTATTGTGTATTATTCTAATCTGCTTTTGTGTCAAAATTTCTTGCAATGTACCTATAAACATTTTTTCTCAATTTCACTGTAATTATTCTACTTAAAATTATCTGTACCTATAAAGTAAAGCTGTAAAGTACCTGTAAACATTTTTTGTCAGTTTTATTGTGAATTATCTTATTTATTTATTTATTTATCTATTTATTTATTTATTTATATACAAGAAGGTACATTGGGTTTGTGAGGATACATAGCATAGTAATTACATTCTTGTAAAGCCACTAGTACGCGCAGCGTTTCGGGCAGGTCCTTAATCTAACAGTTAATGTTAAGTAGGTAAATTCTAGCAAAATTTATAAAATGATAACAGGTACATTGCAAGAAAAAAAATGAGATAAGAGATGAGATATCTAAAAATTATCTGTTAGTTTAAGAACTTGCCCGAAACGCTATGCGTGCTAGTGGTTATACAAGAATCTAAAATAAATTTAATTTCTATGTTCTCTGTTAACCCCCAATGTTATATTCTTGTATATAAATAATAAATAAATAATAGAGGTGAGAGAGAGGTGAGAGCGCTGTTTGTCGACATAATTGTATTTGTGCTGCTTTTTCAGTTATGTTTTCATTTCTTGTTTTCATTCCACTCTTTATGCTCAATTAGTATTAAGCTTGTCATTTAAGTTTTTCATGCCCGAAACGCTTTGCGTAATAGTGGCTTTAGGCATTGTATGTACTAGCTCTACCTATAAGTCAACCAATCTTTGTAAAAATTTCTTGTATGTATGTACCTTACCTAAATAAACATTTATTTATTTTATTTATTTTATTTATAAGACGCATGGCGGGAGTCAGCTGTTATTGTTGTTGTCGAGGCCGCCCGCCAAAACATTCGCCTGGCCGACCTGCTCCTTCCCTCCTTCACCGCCTCGTATTTTCCCCACAAAATGACGCTCTCTGCTAGAACACGCTTGAAAATAAAGGGGGAGAAGAGTGCTGTGAGGTTCCATTGGATAGGCAAACCGCTGGAAGCGTCGAGGAAGGATCGGTTGCAGAGGGATAAGACATTTTACAGGTTGGTCTTGACGTCTTAAGTCCTTAAAAGTTCATACACTGGCGTGAAAATCATTTTATATATGCTTCTAATGCAACCATGCAGTGTTTGGCAGTTTGCAATGTTTTAGAGTCTGCAGTATAGCTGTGTAAAGTACGTAAACTTTGTAAACTTAGTCATTAAAAACAAGCTTCCTTTTAAAGTCTCTAAAGGTCATGTGGTGGTATTAGAATTAGAATTATATAGTATAATTATATTATAGGTATAATTATACCTATAATTATATAGGTATAGGTATAATAATTAGAATTAATTATTATTTTATCATCGGTAGCTGTAGCTATACAGTCAGAGCCTTGTTACCCTCCCCCCCGCCCCACAAAAGTCAGTCTGTGTAGGGAGTTGGGCCGACTCGCCCCGTTTCCAAACCCACTCCTAACCCTTTAACTATCCTTATACATTGATAAACATATCCATGCCAACCATCATATAATCTAGCCACCCCAACCGTCCCATAATCTAGCCATGCCAACCAATCCTAACCTTTACTAGCCAAAATATAGGACTGAAAGCAGATGCCTACCTGCTGAAGCTGTAAGTACTATCCATGATATTACTTCAGCTTAAAATTTAGCTGGAAAAATCCTCAGGAACAATAGAGGACCTTTGACAAGCTGCTGGCTTCCTGTCCCCATTGAGGCTACTAGATAGGGTGGCCGCATGTAAATTTGTTAATAACCAAATTAATAAATGGGTAAATGTGCTTAAAGATGAATGCACGTAAATGTAGGTATAACCTTGGAAGAAGCTTAGATCATGATACCACACCAACACCATGAGCCTTCTAAATAAAAATTAATGTAAAAAACTCATAAAGTGAAATGCTTTGTAATTGCAACATCAGTCTGTGGTATCAATCTTGTCCTAGACTAGCCATTCTCAACAGGAAGCGATATCTCCCCAACAAGCATACCCTTGCAATAATTACAGGTTGAACATTAGATGAACGCACATGGAGTTTATTTTGAGACTGAAAGGAGACGATTTCTGTCTTTGCTCTCTGTTACCTTGCTCTGGTTTGGGGGGATCAAGGTTTCCACTGCCTGGTCTCTAACCAGGCCTTCTGATTGGCTAAGGGGGAAAAGTTAAACAAAAAATACTTCGAAACACATTTACACATGATTAGAAATGGCCTATTTATCGCTTCCTCTTTGCAGAACCCTTAGTTACTTTGGGACAATACTGTACTGTATTGATTTTGATGTTTTTATAGTAGGTATTGATGCCATTCTTTATTTACAGTGGGTTTCGACTTGATAGAAATACTGTGTATGTTGGTGACTGTGTTTATGTTCGGAATGCTGATTCGCCAAACCCCGATTCTCCAGAAGGATCTGATATTGCAAGAATCATCAGGTGCTATGATAATGGTGAATATCATTTTATTTACTGATATTTACACTGTTCTTTAATGAAAATTTGTACAATTTGTCTTTAAAAACTGATAATTAATCATTTAAAATTCTAAAGTGTGTGCTTTATTGCTTTTCAGGTGAAAGAAAAGATAGCAAACGGGTGATTGTTCAGTGGTACTCACGGTTGGATGACATTAGTTTTGGCCATCGCAAGCATATCGACAAAGGTATGTTTTAAAGAATGATATTTTTCTACAACCTGCTATAGTGCCATGGTATTTAAATATAGTTATACAATATTTAGAATATTATCATTGATTTGTATGAAAATTTGTTATGCAGTTTTAGTATAAATTTTTAAAGCAGTGAGCTACAGTGTACTGTACTTAGCCTTGGTTAACTGTGCCTTTGCTGAAGTACTACTTGTTGATCAGTTGCAATTTGTATATGCACATCTTCCATTTATCCCCTTGTGAATGTTTCACATCATAAGATGTAAAGTCATTGATCAATTGTGGACCAATCTATACCTTAAGACACCAGAAGAAGCTTTCCTATATTAACTATACTGTAATCTGAATTGGATTATATTGTGCCTAAAACATCTCGACACATTCATCAACCAAGTCAAATTATTAAAAAAAAAAATAATCCTCTATGATTGGGTCACATGTAAATTTCTGGTCACTAGTGTGTATTTATCTGCTGCTGAAACAAAAACCTTTAGCACCTGCTTTGTTGGAAATATCAAAATGTTGTTTACTGTCAAATATAAGTGGGTTATGTTTGATTTTATTTGCTCTTTTTGTTTTTAGGCATTTATATGGTCTATAAACTAGGTATACACCTTTAAAGATGTATTGTGGATAACAATTTGTGGCTTGTCATCATTCCCATAGAGACCCAAGCACTAGTGTCTGGCAAACAAAACTTAAGTACAGTGCAACCTCAATTATCTGAACCAGTTGGTATCTCTGGGTGTTTAGATATCTATAATTAAGAATAACTGAAAATGCTGGCGATGTAATTTTTTCCTTGTATTGCCAGGCAAAGGGACTAAAAATATATATAATTACCTTGATGCATACGTTTATGTGTAGAAAACTAGTGAAATTTTGGTGCTAGTTGGTACAGTATAATAAATAAGTGTCCTTCAGTGCCGAATCATACCAAGACTCTCTGTGTCCGGCCATGAAACGACAACGAAGAGAGATTGAGAAAATGTAGCAGACCATCTGGAGCAAACACAAAGATAAACAGAAATTCAGAATTCTCTGACTGTAAACTCACATTCCAGCAACACTTGGGGGTCTAAATACATTAAACAATTCCTAACTGGAGACAGATAGAATACATTGGATTTTTTGTGTATTTATGCATTCTTTGATAAATTATGAAATTGACTTGATATTTTTATCTGTATTGTAGATATACCTGCTCTTGATAATGCCCTAGATGTGGTAAGGGAAGAAAGGGCATTTGAAGCAGATGTCGATGCAGAAAGTATTCTCAGTATGTGTTATGTAAGTACAGTACAAGTTTTTACTGTGATTTAGTCATGTTTCACTACTGATTTGTTGCTTTGATACCAGTTTAAGCCAGTAAGGCAGCTGTAATATATTGAAGTTGCTGTGCCTATCTAGATGACGTTAATTTGATTGCATGAACTTATTTCTTGTTTTCAAGGCACCTCCCAATTTTGTTCAAAATGTATTTGCTAGGCCACATTGTATTTGATATGTTGGTGTATTTTTTGTGTTACGCTTTGGCAGCATTTTTTTTTTTTTTTTTTTTTTTTTACACATTTCATGGAAGTAGAGGGTGTAGGTAAAAAAAAAAAATTAACAAATACTTAAATTTGTATTACATTAAGTGTTTGAAGCAGCATTGTGATGAAAACTATGAGTGGGTTTGAATAATCATTTCATATCATTTCATTTCATTTGAATGATCATTTGAATAATCAAATGATCCTTAGACCATATCTTTCACTACAACAAGTGACTTGAAATTAGCAATAACCCTTTTTTATTATTTTTCATTAAGTTTTAAATAATTTTAAATTCAATTTCCATAAGATTGTTAATTACTGTATGTAACTACCACTTATAATAAAAATTTCCATGTAACACACTTATGAAAACCAGTAAGGATGATATTCTACCAGGATAGCTATGGCCAGCTCAATTTATGATATTATTTTGTGAACATTAAATAAGAGTAACATTCTTACTATAAGTACCACACAAATTAGGGACCACCTCGTGATAACTGTTCACCACCTCCTGGGGACTATTTTTTGGCTTGTAGATTCCTCCTTGTGAATCCTAAACTGTAGATAATTTGCTGTATAAATTTTAAGACAAATAGCCATATAAACGATGACTATTCTTGTATGAAATTAGCCAGGTCCTATGAAAGTGGCAAAACTAAAATTGAGACTGCTGTATCCATTTAAAATAAATCATTATGACCTGTTGGCAGTATACAAATAACTCATGCCATGATGTAGGGGACTATATATAGTTATTAGAAATTAAAACTTGCATACTAAGAGTTTGTCAGTAAAGCTTTTTCTCTCATACAGCTGACTTTCCCTACTGTGTATAACTTTTACATTTTTGTTTCATGATCTTGAAATGAAAACGGGGTTTTAGGTCATTTTAAATGTGTGTAAGCTTGCATTAAAAATTTTGGTGAGCTATGCTGGAACTTTGACGTCCAAAGAAGTGTTCTGTAAGCCTAATGTAACTTCCATTTACAGGTTCAAGAAGTGTCCTGTTATGTTGATCCAAAAACTGTCAAAAGGCCATCACATTGTTCAGATCCATTTTATGTGTGTCGATTCAGTTATGGCGGCAAGATTCCTCGTCTGCATCCATTAGATGATTTGGGGAATTCACTGTTGAAAACTAACAGGTTTGTGTCTGAGACTTTGATGTTAGAATGCAAGGTTTTCCTGTTTAATTATTCCTGAACACAAAACAAAATGCTAATTTTTAGGTCATGCTTTGTGTACTAGCTTAAAATTGGCTTAAAAGTTATATGTTTGCACTCTATTTTTTGTATTTACTCCTTTTACCGTCAGTATTAATTTTTATTAATTTCAGAAACACTGCACGCCGATCTCTTGCCGATGATTTAACCAATTTAACTTCAACAAGTAAAAAGTCAGATACTACTACAAAAATAAAACATGGTAAAGAAAATGCCGCTAAAACTCCAACCATTGACAAAATTGTAAAACGTGACGAATCTCCTGAAATTACTCTCCAAGGTAAGACCTATTAAGTGTTCTGTCATAATTTTCAGCTGAATATGGGAAACACTGGTGCTATTGTACACTGTACAAACAGCTGAATATGTGGTTTACTGGTACTGAACCTAATACTCACTGGAATATGAGATTCCCCAGTACCATGCCTCATTAGCAGCTGATGCAAATCATTTACCTCTGTTTTAGGCAGAGTGAAGCAAAATTTATCACGTTTTAAATTTGACTTAAATTATTCATTTCTATTTACTTTGTTCTCCAAAATTATTGACCAGTGTACAGTGGTACCTCGGAATGCGATTGTCCCTGTATGCGAGGTTTTCGGAAGGCGAGGTGTATTTACTCCAAAAATTTGTCTCAGAAGGCGATGGTTACTTCGGGAGGCGAGTTTGGACGCGAGTTTGTTGATACGCGTACAGCCGACCTAGCGCGTTCGTCGCCCCTCCGCCCCGCCGCCCCTCAGTTTATTATTGTCTCGCGCTCAGTGACTACCCCCACATCAATTCTTCTCGCGGATTTTCAGTGTTTTGTTGGATTTTTGGTGATTTGTCTATACAATTTTTTATTATATATCTCACCATGGGTCCCAAGAAAGCCAGTGGTAAGGATAAAGGCCAGAAAGCTCATGTGAGGATGACAATAGAGGAGAAACAAGAGATCATTCGGAAGCATGAGAACGGTACACGTGTTGTTGAACTTTGTAGGCAGTACAACAAAGCCACATCAACAATATGCACTATACTTAAGAAGAAAAATAAGATTATGGGTGCTAAAGTGGCAAAAGGAGTAAGAACATTAACGGCACAAAGACCACAAATACTTGAAGAAGTGGAAAAGTTGTTATTAATTTGGATACACGACAAGGAGTTGAGGGGTGATAGTGTTTCGGAGGCCATTATTTGTGAGAAAGCCAGGGTGTTGCACGAAGACCTTCTAAAGAATACCCCTGCAACGAGTGATGCAGATAAGAAAGAGTTTAAGGCAAGCAGGGGCTGGTTTGAAAAATTTAGAAAGAGAAGTGGTATCCATAGTGTTACAAGGCATGGGGTTATGTGATGTGATTATGGAAGGGGACTCTCCTTCCAAACAGTAACTCCTCTCCTCCTCCCCCCTCCTCACCATCTTCCATACGCCTACAGCACTCGACAGCAAGGTAAGTAATAACTGGAACACAGTTTTGTAGGTTTATTTAGATGAATTAGGTAAATTAGGTATAAAAATTTAGTTTGATGTGGGGTTTTTGGGGTAGTCAGGAACGGATTAATTCATTTCCCTTTATTTCTTATGGGGAAATTAACTTCGGAATGCGAGTTTTCGGAAGGCGAGGCGTCTCCAGGAACGGATTAAACTCTTATTCTGAGGTATGCCTGTATTAAAAATTAATAGTAAGACTTGTTTCACGAAAAATAATTTCATTGTTGAGATCATTGTATGTATTTGATGTTATTGTTTCTTTCCAACAGAGCCAAGTGCAAGATACCAGTTGTTGAAGAAAAATATGTCAATAAAGATAAAAAGAGTTCAACTAATTCCAGGTAATGTTCACCCTCCCCAGACCTTGAAGCGACAAGCTGCAGATGAAGATGATCTTGCACCAAGAAAAAGAGCTCGAATCAGTCTGAATGATTGTTTCAAAGAAAACACTGACAAGTCATCCAAAGTCATTTCTAATGAGAATATGACCAGTGTGGAGAGACAAAGTATCTCTGGACGAAAACTTAAGATTGTTTGCTATAGAAAATTTAATGATGGTGAAATTGATAGAAATGGAAATCTCACGCCTTTGTCACCAGAGCACCGTGCAAAACACTCGTCTAAAAACTCACAAATTAGTGTTTCAAACAGTATTAGTAAATCACCAAAGCAGATCGAAAACATAAAAAAGGTTGGCAATGTTCGTGCCCTTAAAGCAAATGAAATTGATGATTTACTGGATAGTGACAGTGAGAGTGACAACTGTAGTAATAGTGAAGAGGAGGAGGAGGAAGAGCCTGAAATGAAGTCTTCCAAAAAATTAGAGACTTTTCGTGAAAGTCGAATAATTAAGCTGAAGGAAAATCATAAAAATTTGAAATCAAATCATGATTATATGAAAGATGTTCCATTAATAGACCTAACATCTGTGAAGAAAGGTACCCCTGCAAAAAAAGAAAAATTACCAGAATCCACAACTCCTCAAAAGACTGAACGTGTTCGACCAAAATCAAAAAGTACCGTCAAGAAGAGGTACGAGTGTGATATTTGTGGCGAGTATTTTTCATCTCGTACCGAGTTAAGAGACCATGTAGAGGATCACGAGGATTTTTATCCAACATCAAAATCCCCAAGCAGGTAAGAATTGTATAGTGCTCTTCTTGTGTCTCTTGTTATCACTCGGGAAGTTTTTGGCCTTGAAAGATACTATATTGTCATTATACATGCTGTGCGTTAATACAAAACTTGTCCATACAACTACAGTAGCCTAATAAGTTTGATTATTTTTAATTTTGGCTGGCATCATAATTACTACTGAACAAATTTAGTTTTTTCTCCGAGTCATGGGTAAAAGGTAGCTTTGTTACTGTAGAAATAATGATTATTATTAAACTGATTAAGGGAAAGTCTGTATTGTGTAGTTAATTTAACCCTTTGTCTAAATATTTGCTACATGCTTCACCTCGGTGGTTTCTTTATTGGGGAACCGATCAAAAGGCAGGTGTTGGGGGCCTGGTTCATGATAGGCTCTGACACCTTGGCTGTCCTGACATTAGATAATATCACGAGACCTAGGCAGAAAGAGTTCTTTTGTCTCGGCAGCCCATGTGGTCAAAAGGCTGCCTTCTGGTTTGCATGTCATTAATAGCCACCTTTAGTGTTACATCCATCAGCCTCCAACAGCTAGCTTAAAGGGACCTGTTTTCCTTGCATCAACGATGCAACATTTGCAGTACTGCTGTTGATATTGGTATCAACCAATAATGATCTGATCCAATTGGTATCAACCTTGAGGGATCCAGTCAGGCCCCAAATATCACTAATGTCCAGATGGAAGAGAGGTAAATAAGTAGGATAACTATAAGGAAAAAGCACAAAGTTTATATATGACTATATCATTTGGAAGGGAAACAAGGACAAATATCAGGGATAGGACGGGAAAAGGAATGGTGCTCAACCACTTAGACTAATAGGGGATTGAATGCTGACCTGCATCAAACTACTGTACTTTGCATGATTTAAATACTTCACTTAGGAGATGGGTGAAACTGGAAAAACCACTTGTAAAGTCGACTAGAGCCTAGTATGCATACAGTTTTGTATCCGGGTAAACTGTATGGCACAGACCTTAGAGCAATAACACTTAACTCATATGCTATAGCATCCTCACTCAGTTATAATTATTCTTTATCAATTTAGCCCTTTTTTCTTCATTTAATGACTTACTTTCTCTTAGTCTAGCAAGCTTATTCTTGCAGACAGATGTATTTTCTACTCTTTAAGTTTAAATGAAAAATGGCTGAAAATCGTTGAGTAACAGGGTAACGCAGTCAGCACAATTGGGAAATCATCAAAGGATCTGGACGTGTCCATTGGCAGTACTGTGTGGCACCATCAACAGAAAGCAATTCACATACATAATTGAACTGTTTTAACCGGTTACTAGCACAATAAAACATTTTCCTAAATACTGTAATAGATAATGTACAGTACTTAGGATAATTGGGATTCTACACTAAGATACTATTTGATTTAGTTTATAGAAAAGTTTGATGTTAAGATACTTAACTGTATTTCTAATAATTGTACATTGGTCTTAAATTTACAGAAAAAACAAGAGTAAACGTATACCTCGCACACCATCCACTACACAAAAGAATTCAAGGAAAACTCCTGCAACTCCTAAACTTCCATTCCGAGAAGAGCCTGTGAAAGATCCTCAGACGCCACTGGAACTGGCACGGGCTCGCCTGCATGTTTCAGCGGTCCCCGACTCTCTACCTTGCAGGGAGAACGAGTTCCAAGATCTATACTCTTTTGTTGAAGGCAAACTGATGGATGGTAATGGAGGATGCATGTAAGTGGTAGCTTAAAAGATATTACATAAATTTGTGAGTTGAATCAAAGCATAAATTAAATCATTTTTAAAATAGTACTATCAAAGAGCATCTTGTATGTTTTTGTATTAATTTTGACTCGTTTGTGCATTGGAAATTATACGTTGATATTACACTTGATATTTGTTGCAGGGTGTGTTCAGTATACCACCAGACCTCTCACTCTTCATGTATTGTTCCACTCATTCAAAGATATTGGTCATCTGCCTCTTATCATATGATCTTATTTTGCTCTTGAACACTCATCAAATTTGTCTTTCATTTATGTTAGGTTCGTTAATTTATTAGGTTATACAGTTTAATATTTCCAGTATGTCTGTATACATTGTGCTTGTGGTACCTTAAAAATGACTATGTCAGTAAGTGGTAACACAGTTTTCTGCCTGTATCCTAACTGATTATGCACCATCTTGTGGCTGAATACACAGGTTACAAGATTACAATGTGTATCCAAATAATGAATTTCATCAAGAGCCTGCATCAAAATAGTGAAATTGTCCATTGAGTCAAATATTATATGAACTCTGTTAATGTACAGTCTAATAATAATGATGATAATTTACAAAAATCATTGGAGCATTCTAGGACCGCCATCATTGTCAGTATGCTTAACTGTTCAAATACTTAACCTGTTCTGGGGGTGACCTAGAACGCTGGTTCGAATCACTGGATTGTTCCAATGATTTTTGCATAATGATATATCACACCAGTGTGATTTTTTCCCCTAGTATGTAATAATAATAATAGTAATTTTTATTTAATTTCCCAAAGACATTGTTTACAGTTGGTGGATCATCCTTGCTTTCTATTTTAATTTTCTAACTCAGTGTGATTGTAGTGTGTAGTATCCATATTGTTACTTTTATATATTTTGTTGCCTTTTTAAAGTATTTAACCTAAAATTTCTTTTTATAGGTATGTAAGTGGTGTACCTGGCACAGGAAAGACTGCAACTGTCAGGGAAGTAGTAAGACTTCTTAAAGAATGCAGCCATGAAGGGGATTTGCCTTCATTCACTTACCTGGAAGTCAATGCAATGAGACTAACAGAGCCTCATCAACTCTGGGTTCAGGTAAGATAACATGTTGATAACATAATGTAAGATAACATATTCTTCATAATAAACTATTTGCTATGCTATACAGAAAGGCCTGGTCAGAGTTAAGTGCAGGTGTGATAATCTTTTAGGCCACTTCAGGTAGAATGGTTGCTATTCTGTTTTCTATCATTATCACCAATTCCCCCATTTCCACTTTCATTAGTTGAAGGCATTTTTCCCAGAGAAGATATTAGAGCAAAGTTTGAGGGTGCAGTATTCAGTATGACACCCACATCAAATTTCTCATATCTTTGACACTAAATGGTGTCATGAAGAGCCAGTACTATTTCAGTTCACCTAATTATCCACAGCAGCTTTCCTTCTATATGAAAGAAAGGACAGGGAAAGAGGATGGATAAGGAAGTTTGAAAGAGTGAGAGGTGTCTGGAGGAAAAGTCTGCTAAGGCCGCCTCCTGGTAGAGATCGACCTAGTGGAGTAAGTTGGTCTGAGCCATCAGTAGATAGCTAAATTAAATAATTGTGGGCCTTTGCATAAAGTAATACTATACATTTTATAACATTTTTTCTTCAACTGTTTTACTCTATCACCTGCAATTTCATAATTTGTGGTAATTTGCTTAATCTCCAATGCTAGATTCCTGTACTTATTATTAATACAGCCTCTGTATGAGTCAGCGTTATAATAGATGGTATTACATGATACCAAGAATGTTAGCAAGTACTATATTCTTTTTTGCAATTTCCTGCTCCATGGCAATTAATATTTTTTGTATTTGTTTAAAATTACTTAAATATTTTCAATCCTTTAGTTATAAGATATTTACATATCATTTCCTTCCTCATAAGATTTTGTATCACTTTCTGTATTTTAGACCAATGAAAATACAATAATTTTCTATTGTATATTGTCTTGATTCAAGTGTTCATTTGGGATACTGTAATTTAATTTTGTACCCCATTTTACAAAGAAAAAAGCTACAAGCATTGAATATTCAGAAAGTTTTTCTACCACTTCAAAGAAGTAGCTATTAAGTCAGAAGGATACCATGTGAAATTAATTTTATCAATTCATCTTTTACAAACGTGAAATACTGAAAGCTAAAGACCGTTGTTTTATGACTGTACACTATAATTAATATTAAAGTTTTTATGAAGTGTTAATGGTGGATTTTAAGGTGACTGTCCAAGGAAAATAAGGAAGTGCCCTAGTCTTACAATGATCAGTGGGCAGATTGAACAATATTGTGTAATATTTATAAAAATGTCTTTCCAGGTATGGAAGGGTTTAACAGGAAACAAGGCAACTGCAGAGCATGCCTCCTCTTTACTTGAAAAAAGATTTTCCATCCCAGCCCCAAGGAGAGAACCAACAGTGTTACTGGTGGATGAGCTGGATCTCCTGTGGACTCGCAAGCAGGTACACTAGAAATGGTTCTTGTATTTACCTTCATCATTCAAGTCATCGTGATTTGTTGGTCACTTGGGCCACTGTGGTTATTATCATTTAAAGCCGTTAGAGCAAATCCTCTTATATGCCTGTCAGTCCATAACTTACTAGTGAATAAAGAGGCTAGCCTCATGATCAAGAATCAGGAATTCTTGATTCAAATGTTCTTCACTATTTCATATCTAACACTTCTCTTAAAAATGTTAATTATTCCTTTTTAATTTTCTGTTCATCATATACAGATAACTACTGTAATAAAAATTTTATGGTTGATACATTTGCCTACCATCCTCCTTACCTTTCATTCAGTATTAACAATTCTTATTTATAGGATGTGATGTATAATCTCTTTGACTGGCCATGTCGTCCTGGAAGTAAGCTGATTGTTGTAGCCATTGCCAACACCATGGACCTTCCTGAGCGCATTATGATGAATCGGGTGTCATCTAGGCTTGGGTTGACGAGAATGACTTTCCAGCCTTACAATTACAAGCAGCTGCAGGTTAGGGCTCTTATCTTATGCCTCCTATTGTACCCTTAAAATGTAATATACTATTATTAAGAGAGACTGCATATTTGTTCAAATAATTCAAATATGGAAATGTTTACTTTTTTTTTTAAGAGAAAATGGCAAGCTTTAGTAAAAAATATACCACTGTATAGTATGGTCATTGGGGAATTCATACTTTATAGTGGATGCTTGGACTGTTTCAAACATGGTGGTAGAACAGTTCTAATAGTCAAGTGTTCTGGATGGCAGGTGGCATATACTGATTGGTGCTGGAAGCATAATTTTGACTGCAATGTAATGTAATTTGGTGATTGCATATGCTCTGTGTAATGATTGAGATTGAAGAACATTTTCCAGGTAGTTATGTGTGAGATTTGAATACCAAAAAGGGTTTATAGTATAATTAGCATTGCAGGTCATTTGAACAGTAAAGTAGGAGTGGGCTCTGAGATTGAAGAGAAACTGTACAAGTTGTACCAGGCATGAATGATAGTGGCTGTTGATTAAAATTCATATGCAGTGAAATAGTTATGTAGTATTACTAATATATATACTGTTCTGAATTTTTTTATGAAAGATCTAAGAATAGTAAAAGTGCTTGAACAAATTATTGGCTAACCATAGTATTCTGATGCTGTCAGTGTGGATTAGGATAATTTTGAAAGATCATGTCCCCCATTTTTTTTTTTTAATTATTTCTGTAACAAAAATTTTTAAGGCTCCACTGAACTGTGTAATTACAATAATATATATATAAACATTTCATAGTATTTAATTATATACTGTATACTATATCAGGTAATGTATCTTAATTGTTATTTCCTTTCTGTTTTACAGGAAATAGTAATGTCTCGCCTATTAGGTATCGATGCTTTTGATCCAGATGCAGTACAGTTAGTGTCACGCAAAGTTGCAGCATTGTCGGGGGATGCCAGGCGAGCACTTGATATATGTCGTCGTGCCACAGAAATTGCAGAGACAAAGAAGCTTCCAGCTAGTCCATTGAAATCCCCTGTGAAGAGGGCAGCTCTGGTTGGAATGTTGCATGTTGATATGGCAATAAAAGAAATGTTCACATCACCCAAAATCACAGCTATAAGGTAAAAGTTACTTTTTTTAGAAACTCTGCTAATATATGCAGTGAAATAGTTATGTAGTATTACTAATGGTCCAGGTCCAGGACGGACCGAAACGTCGTCGTCCCTTCAATTTCTAGTGTGTGGTCTGGTCAACAAACTCTGCTAATGTTTATATGCCGTACCTAATATTCTAATATTAATTCCACTTTGGCTCCTGGCAAAAAGGTCCGATTATGTAGAAGTTGAACACACTAATTTAGGGGCATTGTTTAAAAAAATTGTAGAAATTTAGTGAAACTATTTTATGTTGATAATACTGTTTATTGTTACCAAATGGTAATATAATCTACAATATTTACTGCAGAAGTTGCAGTTTCATGGAGCAGTTTGTTCTTCGTGCGGTTGTTGCCGAGTTCACACGCACTGGACTAGAAGAAGCTGTTTTTAGCCATGTATTGGATCAGTTCATCTCACTCTGCAGATTTGAAGGTAAATTTGTTAAGAAGTATTTGATATTCTTAAGCCTGTTAAACTTTTTTTCTTGCTTTATCATTTGGCCCAAACATAATGTCAAAACATTTCACAGAGAAAAATCACACTTACTGTAATATATCTGAGAAAATCTATAGGAGGTATGAGAATTTGAACCTATGTGCTGGGTATTCACACACACATGCCCCACTCAACCAGCCCATGGTAAAAAGGATTGCATCCTGGGGTTCTACTGAACCCATGAGGATTTCCAAGGTTTCCACTGAAGCCGAACCAGGATTTCACATAATCCCCCCATGCACTCTAGCTCTGTCATCTAAGAATGTTCTACCTCTGACACTCCTCTTCAATACACACAGAGAAATCACTAACTTGATGTATCACTTGAGAAAATCTGTAGGAGCTGTGATGAGAATTCAAACCTATGGGCTGGGTATTCCTAAGCACTTGCCCCAGACTCCATCCAGATAATGGAGATCCATTCCCCACTAACTGGGAAGTCTTTGTACCTCCTAGCAAAAAGTACTGTAGCAAAAATATCTTCACCTAATTAACTAAGCCTGTATATATATAATATCAGAATGTCTACAAGGCTCGTGCTGTGACCAACACTGAACTAGTCACCAGTACCACGGTCCCTCGCATAAAGAGTTAATCGTCTTTACTGGTTGATACCTGGTTGATGGGGTTCTGGGAGTTCTACTCCCCAAGCCCGGCCCGAGGCCAGGCTTGACTTGTGAGAGTTTGGTCCACTAGGCTGTTGCTTGGAGCGGCTCGCAGGGCCACATACCCACCACAGCCCGGTTGGTCCGGCACTCCTTGGAGGAATAAATCTAGTTTCCTCTTGAAAATGTCCACGGTTGTTCCAGCAATATTTCTTATGCTTGCTGGGAGGGTGTTGAACAACCGGGGACCTCTGATGTTTATTCAGTGTTCTCTGATTGTGCCTATGGCACCTCTGCTCTTCACTGGTTCTATTCTGAACCTCTATCCTTCTATCCTCCCGAGGCGAGGTACAGTAATTTCACATGTCAGTGTTGGTGGTAGACTAGTTTTGTTGTTTTCCTTGATTCTTGTTATCCCCAGCAACTGGTGCATTTGTACACTATTCTTTTGTTTCAACCACTTCATCAGGAAGTGGTTGGGAGAAGGGACAGGAAAGGTTTGGGTGTAGGAATGAGAGGGTGTCAGGGGTGGATATTAGGATGGTATCATGGGTGGTATTGGGAGTCTTCTTGAGAGTGGTACTGCTGAAAGATGACATGGGAGAGTGGCAGCTCATTCCTCGATGACCCACAGTCACACAATATGAACAAGACCAGATCGTGTTTACCTTGTTGGTGGAGTGGGGTTATGTGTTGCGGATAGAAGGAGAGTGGGATGTGTTTATTTGTGCGACGAATTACAAATCCCTGACTCAATACATTACACACATTGGTGTTTTAATTTATTTATTCATGTAATTAGACCCCTTACAGTCTTCAAAATTAACTTTGACAAACAAGATAAATGATATGCTGAGCTTTTATATGTCCCCAAAATATTGATTGTGATAATTTTTGGTGGTCCGGGAACACATCTCCCATTTATAGCATTACTCCCACAGGAAATCTCATTCCACATTCCGAACACCTTTTCAGACTGTAACCTGTTCATAGATGGGGGGGGGTACTCCCTGTATAAAATTGTTGGTCTAATATATCATTATGAGACACATGAGGAATGGCAACAGGGTTGACTGGGCAGTGGTGGTTATTTGGGGAGATAGCTGTCACTTGTATATCACACAGGTAGAGAAGCTTGGATGAATCTGTGCATGTTATATTATTTCATATGTAAAATTGTCCTTTTTTTGTGTAATTTTCCAGGAGTTGAGCCATGCTACACATCAGAAGTAATGACAATCATAAATCGACTCACTTCACAACGATTAATCCTGACAGAGCACTCCCGTAATGACCTAAATCTACGCCTAAGGTTGAACATATCAACTGATGATGTTACCTATGCATTGCAAAACTCAAGTCATTGAAAATATTGCCAGTAGACACATATTATATATACAGTACTGTAAACAAAGTTTTTACTGTTTTTAGTAATGCTTAACTATTCAATTCACTGATTTTCACTCCAAATATTTTATTTATTGACGAGACTTTTTGTTCATTTTATAATTAAGCTTATTTTCTAACCAAAATATAATTTAGCATTAATTTAATGATTAATAAGGTACTGAACATTCTTTTCCAGGCATTTAAATTTGATTGGGATTTTATTTTATTTGAGAGAATCTGAGGACTTTTGTGTTATTGTGTTAAGTTGCATTTTACTTAGTTTCCCAAAATGAACCAAAAGTAAATACTGTATATGAAATGTTTTTCCAAAAGTGGGAGACAGTTCACACTTAAGTGCTCCAGTTTATATATATACTGTGGTACTGTATTGGTTTAATGCCTTGCGACTTACCTGTGTATAAGCTGCAGATAATGACACAAGGATTAAACAGCTTCTCCCTTAGTCCAGTGATGTTAAACATCTCTTCATTATCACAATTTAATTTGTTCATACCTTATATTGCTAAATATTTTGTAATTTTAAAATGTACTCTACCTGCAATGCAGGAATTTTAATTTATATTTACACCAATAAAGTCAACTTTTGATGAAACAATTTCTTAACCTTTATATAATTTACATGTGATATTTGGTAGATATAAAGCCAAATGTGTATGAATACACTCAGGCTTCCTGTCCCCTGACACAGTGACTTATACTGTATTTTCTTTGTTCTTAAATCTGGTGTACTTTTTTGTCTGGAAAAAGACTTGGGTTTGAGCTATGTTAATGACCTGCTAAGAGGGACTAGGTCATACTGTACCTGTTTATGTTTGAGGTGCATAATTTTGTGAAGAGATTACAAACAAAAGTATTGCACTTTAGGAACCGATAAACTGTGCAAGTGGGCACAGTTTATCGGTTCCTATCGATATCGCTATCTGCCCACCTGCTAGATTTTGACCCTCATTAAGTAAAGGTAACAAAAGTTGGAAGTAGACAAACAAACAAGCTACACTTAGAGAGTGGCAACTACAGGTGCCTGAATGGTTAGAATTCAGGCACCTGTAGTTGCTGAATGTCTACGTCCAAGTTACTGATATTGGAATGGGAATGAGGTACAGTACACAACAATGGTATGGACATAGTAGAATGTCTTGGGAGTATGGTTTGCTAGTCTTATGTATTTTTGTTCTTTTTGTTGACATCCTGGATGATGCGTAGGAATTTTGTAGTGTTACAAAGTGCTATACTGTATAGGATTTGTCGCTTTGTATAATTATTTAATTGTTTAGCAAGAAAGGTACACAAAGGTGAAATAAAAGGATTGCATGGTAGAGGCAGATGTTTTTTGTCTTTGAAGGGAAGAGTGTATGAAAGGAAGAGCATGGAAGAGAGGTTTTCTTAATGATAGCACTCTCTGGAGAAACTTACTTTGTGGCCAGCTGAGTTTGAGGATTATCCATGGTCCATACTTTTTTGCTGCTTTGGTGGCATTCATTTTGCCTTTACCATGCTGGTCATGGTCTGATGACACCTACGACCCCAAGTCCTGTGGGGTTTGCTTACGCCATGTGGCTGTTTCTGGCCCCCTTAAAGTACTAGGTAGCTTCCACTCTACAGGAATGTTTTGCCCATTCAGTGGTCTCAGTAGTTTGCCTGATTGGATGTCTCAGAGTTGCGGTCTTGTGCTTAAAGACCAAGAATTGGTGGTATTGGTGAATTCCACCTTGGATCTGTCCACACTTCTTCCTTCCCCATGTGTTGGTCTCCATGGTGGGTGGGAAATAAGCATGCAAGTAATTATCAAAAGAAGCCTATCAAGACTATGTAGCATCATCAAAGTTGCTGGGTATTCAAAAGGCGCTAAGTATCACAAAGGATGCCAATACGAGAACAAAAACACATAAGGCGAGAGATATCAATAGTATCTGATTCACCGAGGATTCAATTGTGAGACAAATGACCACGAGGGACAGTTGGGAACCAAGACAGACACTTCCTGGTAGTCGGGACATTCAACAAGAATATGCACGACCATAAGAGGGACATTAAGAAGCAGGGTTCAAGTTCAAGTAGTTAATCAAGACAATAAAATACATCTCAAAGGGATAGGGTAGCTTAGACTATTTCTACCCCCACTCCCCTGGGAGCAGGGTGGTGCGCCAAGTTGCTGCAAACATGTATGATAATAGTAACCTCGCCAGATCTGTTTCCCACCACCGGTTACGGTGGTAGGAGGAAGGCCAAAGGAATAGGCTACCCTTAAGAGCACGGACCATGCCAGTAATTATTAAATGAAGGCACCAAGCTGGGAAGACCATGTAGCACTATCAAAGTTGTAAAATATTCAAAAGGCACTAAATATAATTGAGGATGCCAATATGAGAAATAAAAGCTCATAAAGTGGACACTTAAATGTAAATGCCAGTTAAAAGGTATCCGATTCCCCAAGGATTGTGAGTGTCGTATTATGAAAGATACCCTGGAAAAGCCCAGTGATTCAATCAGACAATAGATGGCCAGCTTTTTTGGTTCAATTCATGCTGGAGATTGTGATTCTCCCCTTAAGGTGCAACAACCAATTATACAAGCCCTGGACAGTTACAGATAAATGGCATAGGTGTATAGATTCTGTACTTATGAAAAAAGCCTAGTATCAAACATCATAAAATTGATTATTAATTCTATAACATGACATGTTTCATATTAGTAAACACGGGCTTTTGGATGGAAGGCAAAATGACAATGCACCATGTACTCTCACCTTGGATAATCATCGCCCAGAACTCTTTACACCTCCTGTACTCTCTTCACCACAGATATGCGCTACAATGAAGAAAGACTACAGGTATGATGACCAAACCACACATCAGATGGAGAAACGACGACGTTTCGGTCCGTCCTGGACCATTATCAAGTCATGTGTGGTTTCGTCATCATATCTTCAGCCACGTTACTGACTCGTCGTCTGCAAAGACTATAGGTGTTAAATCTCACATCACTGGAAGAGAGAACAGGGAGGACATGAGTACTATATACAAAATATTCAGATGAAAAGAGAAAGCACAGATAGTACATGAACAAGGGTGCAGAGATGGAAGGAAACTTAAGTACCCAAATGATCCAGAAACATTAGAAAGACTTTGTCAGAGCATGATCAACAAAAGGAACCTCCCAAAAAGCCTCCTATACATCAATCGATTAAGAGAGGTGGGACCCAAGAACCGTGGTTCATCCCCCACAAATAAAATTAGGTTGTTGGTTGTTTTAGATTTAGCTACTCTGAACCAAATGTCCATGTAGCACGGGCTATGGTGAGCTCGTAAATAAAATTAGGCGAGAACACTCCTTTTATCCCAGTACACACTTCACTACACCTATCTTACACCATACATCCCCCTCACACTGCCAACCCGACTCTCCTCACCTAGGAATCCCCTCACCCTGGCCTCCTACCCCAGACTCCCCTCACCCTGGCCTCCCACCCCAGACTCCCCTCACCCAGGCCTCCCACCCCAGACTCCCCTCACCCAGGCCTCCCACCCCAGACTCCCCTCACCCAGGCCTCCCACCCCAGACTCCCCTCACCCAGGCCTCCCACCCGACTCCCCTCACCCTGGCCTCCCACCCCAGACTCCCCTCACCCTGGCCTCCCACCCCAGACTCCCCTCACCCTGGCCTCCCACCCCAGACTCCCCTCACCCTGGCCTCCCACCCCAGACTCCCCTCACCCTGGCCTCCCACCCCAGTACTCCCCTCACCCTGGCCTCCCCTCACCCTGGCCTCCTACCCCAGACTCCCTTCACCCTGGCCTCCCACCCCAGACTCCCCTCACCCAGGCCTCCCACCCCAGACTCCCCTCACCCAGGCCTCCCACCCCAGACTCCCCTCACCCTGGCCTCCCACCCCAGACTCCCCTCACCCTGGCCTCCCACCCCAGACTCCCCTCACCCTGGCCTCCCACCCCAGACTCCCCTCACCCTGGCCTCCCACCCCAGACTCCCCTCACCCAGGCCTCCCACCCCAGACTCCCCTCACCCTGGCCTCCCACCCCAGTACTCTGGTCACCCCAGACACTCCCGGAGTCCAGGGCGTCGAGCCCCGTGGTGGGTCGATGAGGGCCAGCACGCGCTCAGTTCTGGCGGATGTAAACACACAAAGATGGCGATCTTCTCCAGTAAGACCGCCGACTCCAGGTAAGGACCCGTCCTCCCCTCCTTCATCCTATGCAAATTAGGACTTTTTCTTCCTAGGATTATATACGTATTAAGCCAATATTAAATGCACGTATATATCTAAATATAGATAAATAATGCTGCTGTGGCTGTTAGAAGTTTGGCTGTGTTGTGTAACGGTGCTGTGTGGCTGTGATGGTACTGTGTGGCTGTGACGGTGCTGTGTGGCTGTGACGGTACTGTGTGGCTGTGACGGTACTGTGTGGCTATGATGGTACTGTGTGGCTGTGACGGTACTGTGTGGCTGTGACGGTACTGTGTGGCTGTGACGGTACTGTGTGGCTGTGATGGTACTGTGTGGCTGTGACGGTACTGTGAGGCTGTGATGGTACTGTGTGGCTGTGACGGTACTGTGTGGCTGTGACGGTACTGTGTGGCTGTGACGGTACTGTGTGGCTGTGATGGTACTGTGTGGCTGTGACGGTACTGTGAGGCTGTGATGGTACTGTGTGGCTGTGACGGTACTGTGTGGCTGTGACGGTACTGTGTGGCTGTGACGGTACTGTGTGGCTGTGACGGTACTGTGTGGCTGTGACGGTACTGTGTGGCTGTGATGGTACTGTGTGGCTGTGACGGTACTGTGTGGCTATGACGGTACTGTGTGCCTGTGACGGTACTGTGTGGCTGTGATGGTACTGTGTGGCTGTGACGGTACTGTGTGGCTATGACGGTACTGTGTGCCTGTGACGGTACTGTGTGGCTGTGACGGTACTGTGTGGCTGTGACGGTACTGTGTGGCTGTGACGGTACTGTGTGGCTATGACGGTACTGTGTGGCTATGACGGTACTGTGTGCCTGTGACGGTACTGTGTGGCTGTGACGGTACTGTGTGGCTGTGACGGTTCTGTGTGGCTGTGACAGTTCTGTGTGGCTGTGACGGTTCAGTTCTATGTGGCTGTGACGGTTCAGTTCTGTGTGGCTGTGACGGTGATCTGTGTGGCTGTGACGGTGATCTGTGTGGCTGTGACGGTGATCTGTGTGGCTGTGACGGTGATCTGTGTGGCTGTGACGGTGATCTGTGTGGCTGTGACGGTGATCTGTGTGGCTGTGACGGTGATCTGTGTGGCTGAGACAGTGATCTGTGTGGCTGTGACAGTGATGTGTTTGGCTGTGACAGTGATCTGTGTGGCTGTGACAGTGATCTGTGTGGCTGTGACAGTGCTCTATGTGGCTGTAACGGTTCTGTGTGGCTGTGACGGTACTGTGTGGCTGTGACGGTGCTCTGTGTGGCTGTGACGGTGCTCTGTGTGGCTGTGACAGTGATCTGTGTGGCTGTGACAGTGATCTGTGTGGCTGTGATGGTGCTCTGTGTGGCTGTGACGGTGATCTGTGTGGCTGTGACGGTGATCTGTGTGGCTGTGCCGGTGCTCTGTGTGGCTGTGACAGTGATCTGTGTGGCTGTGACGGTGCTCTGTGTGGCTGTGACAGTGATCTGTGTGGCTGTGACAGTGATCTGTGTGGCTGTGACGGTGCTCTGTGTGGCTGTGACGGTGCTCTGTGTGGCTGTGACGGTGCTCTGTGTGGCTGTGACGGTGCTCTGTGTGGCAGTGACGGTGCTCTGTGTGGCTGTGACGGTGCTCTGTGTGGCTGTGACGGTGCTCTGTGTGGCTGTGACGGTGCTCTGTGTGGCTGTGACGGTGCTCTGTGTGACTGTGACAGTGATCTGTGTGGCTGTGACAGTGATCTGTGTGGCTGTGACAGTGATCTGTGTGGCTGTGACAGTGATCTGTGTGGCTGTGATGGTGCTCTGTGTGGCTGTGACAGTGATCTGTGTGGCTGTGACAGTGATCTGTGTGGCTGTGACGGTGCTCTGTGTGGCTGTGACAGTGATCTGTGTGGCTGTGACAGTGATCTGTGTGGCTGTGACGGTGCTCTGTGTGGCTGTGACGGTGCTCTGTGTGGCTGTGACGGTGCTCTGTGTGGCTGTGACGGTGCTCTGTGTGGCTGTGACGGTGCTCTGTGTGGCTGTGACAGTGATCTGTGTGGCTGTGACAGTGATCTGTGTGGCTGTGACAGTGATCTGTGTGGCTGTGATGGTGCTCTGTGTGGCTGTGACAGTGATCTGTGTGGCTGTGACGGTGATCTGTGTGGCTGTGACAGTGATCTGTGTGGCTGTGACGGTGCTCTGTGTGGGTGTTACAGTGATCTGTGTGGGTGTGACAGTGATCTGTGTGGCTGTGACAGTGATCTGTGTGGCTGTGACAGTGATCTGTGTGGCTGCGACGGTGCTCTGTGTGGCTGTGACGGTGCTCTGTGTGGCTGTGACGGTGCTCTGTGTGGCTGTGACGGTGCTCTGTGTGGCTGTGACGGTGCTCTGTGTGGCTGTGACGGTGCTCTGTGTGGCTGTGACGGTGCTCTGTGTGGCTGTGACGGTGCTGTGTGGCTGTGACGGTGCTCTGTGAGGCTGGGACGGAGCTCTGTGTGGCTGTGACGGTGCTCTGTGTGGCTGTGACGGTGCTCTGTGTGGCTGTGACGGTGCTCTGTGTGGCTGTGACGGTGCTCTGTGTGGCTGTGACGGTGCTGTGTGTGGTTGTGACGGTGCTCTGTGTGGCTGTGACGGTGCTCTGTGTGGCTGTGACGGTGCTCTGTGTGGCTGTGACGGTGCTCTGTGTGGCTGTGACGGTGCTCTGTGTGGCTGTGACAGTGATCTGTGTGGCTGTGACAGTGATCTGTGTGGCTGTGACAGTGATCATTGTGGCTGGGATGGTGCTGTGTGGCTGGGATGGTGCTCTGTGTGGCTGGGATGGTGCTCTGTGTAGCTGGGATGGTGCTCTGTGTGGCTGTGACGGTGCTGTGTGGCTGTGGTGGTGCTGTGTGGCTGTGACTGTGCTGTGTGGCTGTGACGGTGCTCTGTGTGGCTGTGACGGTAATCTGTGTGGCTGTGATGGTAATCTGTGTGGCTGTAACGGTAATCTGTGTGGCTGTGACGGTGCTGTGTGGCCGAGACGGTGCTGTGTGGCTGAGACGGTGCTGTGTGGCTGTGACAGTGATCTGTGTGGCTGTGACAGTGATCTGTGTGGCTGTGACAGTGATCTGTGCGGCTGTGACGGTACTGTACTCACCTAATTGTGCTTGCGGGGGTTGAGCTTTGGCTCTCTGGTCCCGCCTCTCAACTGTCAATCAACTGGATTGTACTCACCTAGTTGTGTCTGCAGGATCGAGCATTGACTCTTGGATCCCGCCTTTCGAGCATCGGTTGTTTACAGCAATGACTCCTGTCCCATTTCCCTATCATACCTGGTTTTAAAATTATGAATAGTATTTGCTTCCACAACCTGTTCCTGAAGTGCATTCCATTTCCCCACTACTCTCATGCTAAAAGAAAACGTCCTAACATCTCTGTGACTCATCTGAGTTTCAAGCATCCATCCATGTCCTCTCGTTCTGTTACTATTCCGTGTAAACATTTCGTCTATGTCCACTCTGTCAATTCCTCTGAGTATCTTATACGTTCCTATCATGTCCCCCCTCTCCCTTCTTCTTTCTAGTGTCGTAAGGCACAGTTCCCTCAGGCGCTCTTCATACCCCATCCCTCGTAGCTCTGGGACGAGTCTCGTTGCAAACCTCTGAACCTTTTCCAGTTTCATTATATGCTTCTTCAGATGGGGACTCCATGATGAGGCGGCATACTCTAAGACTGGCCTTACGTAGGTAGTGTAAAGCGCCCTAAATGCCTCCTTACTTAGGTTTCTGAATGATGTTCTAACTTTTGCCAGTGTAGAGTACGCTGCTGTCGTTATCCTATTAATATGTGCCTCAGGAGATAGATTAGGTGTTACGTCCACCCCCAGGTCTCTTTCACGCGTCGTTACAGGTAGGCTGTTCCCCTTCATTGTGTACTGTCCCTTTGGTCTCCTATCTCCTAGTCCCATTTCCATAACTTTACATTTGCTCGTGTTGAATTCTAGTAGCCATTTCTCTGACCATCTCTGCAATCTGTTCAGGTCCTCTTGGAGGATCCTGCAATCCTCATCTGTCACAACTCTTCTCATCAACTTTGCATCATCTGCAAACATTGACATGTAGGACTCTACGCCTGTAAACATGTCGTTAACATATACAAGAAATAGAATTGGTCCCAGCACCGATCCTTGTGGTACTCCACTTGTTACTGTTCGCCAGTCCGACTTCTCGCCCCTTACCGTAACTCTTTGGCTCCTTCCTGTTAGGTAGTTCCTTATCCATTCTAGGACCTTTCCCCCCACCCACATTGTGGGTGTGTGGGTGTGACGGTGTTCTATGTGGCTGTGACGGTTCTGTGTGGCTGTGACGGTACTGTGTGGCTGTGACAGTTCTATGTGGGTGTGACGGTACTGTGTGGCTGTGACAGTTCTGTGTGGCTTTGACGGTACTGTGTGGCTGTGACAGTTCTGTGTGGCTGTGACGGTACTGTGTGGCTGTGACAGTTCTGTGTGGCTGTGACGGTGCTCTGCGTGGCTGTGACGGTGCTCTGCGTGGCTGTGACGGTGCTCCGCGTGGCTGTGACGGTGCTCCGTGTGGCTGTGACGGTGCTGTGACTAAGCTTACCCCTCATATTTTCTCCCATTTTTTATATTTTGCCTGTAATTTTCTTGTATTGATCTTACATGTTCCAAATATGCGCCAGGTACCGAGGTCATTGGTAATTTAACACTGTTTGACTGTAGTGATCCATGATATATGACTGTTCGAACTGTACATGATTAGTAATGCTTCTTCATTTGATTTCAGAAATGGGAGAGGCCGTATTTCTGGATGTAAAGCTGCAGCAGTAGCAGCTGCAATGGCATCATTAGCAAGTGTGATTGCACTGATGGTTATTACTTGTGTTCAAGCTCAGACTGTAACATACAGCTTCACACAATTCCCTTATAAGGAGTCTGTTGCCAATGTATGTTTACGCTGAAATGAAAATTTGTAAAGCTCTTTGTAAGGAGGGGGTGTCAGTATAAAGTTTGTACATCCGATTGTTTATTAAATACTGTATATATATCAATGTTGCTTACAACAGATAAATTTGTATTTTTCTAAAAAAGTCACCACACTTTTTATCATTTGTGAAAGTGTTAAGGTACAATAGATAATTATATACTGTAGAGCATAATGAAAAAAATATAATAGCTGAAGAATTACCATAAGTAATAATGTATACTGAAAGGGAGAAATACGAGATTCAAAGTTTGCACGACATACAAAGTACTGTATTGTACAGCTCTATTTATGAGAAGTGTATTTTGTAAATAACATTAGCCTCAGCAATAACATGCAAAATAGGTAATTATAATCTACAGACTAATATTTGTTTCTTTAATCTATAGTCATTCTACATAATCTTAAGTGAGTAAATCTACCAATACCTTTTCATTCTATTTCACAAAATATTTCGCTTGAAGGGAAGTCATCACCTAATATTAAGCTCATCCTGTCATAAAGCATAAAAAATTTAAATACATTATCTTAAAAAGAAAATAATTGTACCAAAACTGGCTTCTAAATTAGGGAATGACAAACAAATTATGGCATACAAAATTATTAGGCACAACGGATGATTTGTATCAAAAATATTAACGGCAAAACATGTTTGAATAAACAATGTATTCAATGAGAATTATTCAACTGTAGTAATCTTGTTCGATAAAAGGAGGCCTATGCTAATAGAGGATTCATCCCAAATATTATAAAACAACACAGTACAGTACTGCACTTTATATACAGTACCATATTAAGTGGGGTATTCAACGGTGTCTGGGTCGACCCAATTAGGTTGCACCATCTATGAGTCCTCCCCCCCCTCTCTCCCTCTTCCCCTCTCTCTCTCTCATTCACCATCCCATTCCATTGGTGGGGACTCTCCCTGTCCCCACTAGAATTGGGTGTCATTATATTTAATGCTTAATTTCTAAAAGGGACCCCTAAGTAGGTGGAGTGCCTCAAGGCTCAGTCCTGAGACCTCTGTTATTCAGTATATTTGAGCAGCAATATTTGCAAATTTGCTAACGATACAAAAATTGGGAGGGAAATAAACACAGAAAAAAACTCACCATCATTTCAAGACGATCTAAATAGGGTTTTGAAATGGTCAAAAGATTGGTAGATGCAGTTTGATGCTGACAAATGTAAGGTTTTGAGGGTAGGTAATGATTATATATTTACAAGATACGAGCTTGATGGTGTTGAAATTGTGCAGTCGGATTGTGAAAAGGATCTGGGAGTTATGATTAGCAAGAATTTAAAACCAAAAAATCAGAGCATAAATGTTTGTAATAAGGCAAATAGGACACTGGGATATATTTATCGAAGTGTTAGTAATAAGACAACCGGTGTTGTTCCTCAGCTACAGTATATCTTGCTCTTCTTAGGCCCCATTATTATTAAAGTGGCTATGCAAACAGCACACATCTGCAGGTAAAAGAATTCCTGAACCAAGTAGGCTGCTTAATGGAGGCAACAGGAATGGTTATCGAGGCCTAAAAATACCAAAGCACTTCCCAAGAAACTGCAAACTGTAATCAGGTATGGAATTAGATAGGGAAGCTATAAAAACCCAGCCATAAACACATTCAAGAATATAATCACCACAGAGATGAGGGACTCTTGGCTATGTAAACTATCAGAGGCATGCTGGGTGCAGGAGAAGTCTCAAGAAAATAAACACTGAACCCTGAATACTCTGCAACAGAGGTTGTAAGTAGCCGCAGATTATGAAAAATTCTCTACATACCTCAAGTGCGCACACTACTAAAGTGCAAGGCCTCTAACACACACCAGAAGCAGAGCCAAGACAGACAAGTAGGACTTTTTAACAAGTACAATACACAGACTGTCTTTAACCAACCGAAACCCCAGGTCATCTGGGCTGCCATCTGATGACAATCGGGTGCAGCACAGTTACGGGTATTTATCCAAAGGCAATGATCGTTTGCCTTGTTTACCAAGGTTTGCCTCATATCCTTCATGCAGTCACTTGTTTTGTTGTGCCTATGCTTTCCTGGTAGGCTTTGTGGTGTATCCCTGCTCCCCTCAATTTGTAGAGTAATCCAGATTCTGGTCCTTACATCCAGTACACAACAGATGGATCTTGGAGACCTGGCATGTAGAGCTAATACTTGGTAGTACTGTATCAGTGTATAAGCTTGGGAATCGACAAGGGAGTCCCTTCCAGAAAATAGTTTAGATTTAAGATTACTCTCTTGTGGATATTCATAATATCAGTGTATACATCAAATTTCTCTTGAGGTGTAATGTAATTCATCTAAGATAGATCATACTGGTTTTAAACAGAAAAATGTTCCAGTAGCATGTTAACTTGATATGGAATAACAAGCACTACCATTAATTTTTTTTTTTTTAGGAGAAAGTGTGGTCCGAGTATGAAGTAGCATGTGCACAGTCACCACGATGCTTAGAGCTTCGGGGAGTTCACCACACCCGTTGTGTTAGACAATGTGTATCACCATCTTGCTATCTGGATATCTACATTCATGATGAGGTGAGATTACATTTAGTAACTTTATAGGCTGAAGAGAAAAGATAAAGCTCCATTATCTAAAAGTCCTTAGTTAACATCAAAGAGAAGTAAATGTTAAAATAAATTTATTATGCTCTCCTTATGGTAGTTAAACAGTATTTCACTAACAGAAAAATGTTAGCTTATAAAATCATACACAAATACAAACAAAATTACCTTGACGAGTTGTTCAAGGTGTACAGTATTTTCAACTGCACTGTTATAACATCAACAACATCAGCATGTTACTCATGTGCAACAAAATATTTGGATATTTATTTAAGCTTTCTGGCTTGGCAAGCTTGAAGTTATTACTTCTTGTATGATATGTCAAATCACTTGAAGGGGGTGTATGTTAGGTATTTAATTTGTTGAAAGTCTTAAATACTTTTATGAGGCAAGCCCTGTCATGTCTTCTTTAAATAGTTGCCAGTCTTTTTGTCTTTGCCATAAGCTCATGAGCAGGCTACATTAGTTCTTTGGATGTTTTTATCACCTTACTTTCAACTTTACTCAGTGATAAATCTGCATATGTGGTGGTCTCCATGCTTAATGCAGTAATCAAGGTGGGAGTAATCAAGGGGCTTGTAAAATTTCCCTTTCACAATTCTATTAATATTTAACACTTCCCTCGAGTATTTAAAACTTGCTACCTCTTCCAGCATATCTTGCCCCCTTTTTATACTACAGTTAAAATCACTATCCACTCAGTATGAACCAAAATTCACAGCATCCCATTCCCTTTCTTCAAACACCATTACCTTTCTCTTCCTGCATTGACCTTCAAATTTTCTCTTGCACACACTATCAAACTCATTGACAATCTTTCGCATTTCTCCTAACACTCTGCAAAGGACATCTCATAATTTGCATACAGACATTTATTTCAATATCATTATCATCATCATCTCCCCATTACAATTCACTTCAAATCCCACTCCAGGTGTTTTTAACTCTACCTACCTAATTAACCCATTTCTATATTGTTAAGTTACGAAAACAATACACAACCATGTTTTACACCCAACATTAAAAAAGCATTCTTGTCTATAACATTCTTCTTACATACTGGATCATGTATACTGTACTTATAAATACTATACATCCCTGTCTCAACCTATCTTACACCCAAACATATTCTTGAATTAACACACTCATACCCCTATCAATCATTCTCACTGATATACACAAAGCTAAACCCCTTATCTTTCAACCTTATAATTTTCATTCCTGGCCATACAACTAACCCCCTCAAACCTTTCCACCACTTCAATTTTGAACCTTTCTTCCATGTATTCTTCCCATTAAGATGCGTCTTACTCCTAACACCCCTTATCTCAGCATTTATAAAATTTACTTTCAACTCTTATCTCTTTCCCTTCACATTTTATTACTTTTATATTAGATGTACACATTCTTAAATCCACATATTCCCCTGCCAAAGTAACCTCCAACCAGTTTTGGCTCATTTCCTCAACCCTCTAACAGGTGCTGTTTTGCTGCCCAACAATAAACCTTAATTCTTTGGAAATAAAGAGAATGTTAATGCATAATAAAAAAAGGCACTTTGTCCAAGATAAAAAAAAAATACTAATAAACTAAATTAAAAATTGAAACTAAAATAATTTACTTAAAACTAGAACCCCCCTAAAAATTAATAAAATCTAGCATTGAAGGAAACACTTATTCTTGCGAGCATCCAGTAGCTTTCCAACCTTAGCTTTGACACTGCCAAGCATTAGCTAAACACACAAGGCCTCCGAGATCTAATCATGACTTACCAGAAGCCAAGATTAAAGATCCTGCCTAAAATCAGGATCATATAAGGATTTGGCTGTCTTTGGTCGACAGCCAATGCATCTGAAAGGGGATGGGAAGGATCTGAATGTCACCGAGGGATCCACCAGAAAGAGTTGTTTCATTACCGTCAATGCCGGATTTCCGGGAAGACTCCCTCAGTGGCTCCCAATAGCTATCTCACTACAGAAAAATAAAAACAAATGGAACTCACTAGGGGTGGAGAACAAAACCCAGTACTGTAAGCCCAAAAAAAGGGTTAACTAATGCTGGATAATGTGACCCACTGCCTAAGCCCAGCAGACCCCAGCACATTAACAAGATATCTACCAACACCCTGTTAGAACACCAAAACACCAAAGCCCAAATATCAGCCCAAGACTACAGTACTGTATTAGCAAAAACAGTGGACAAAGATGTGAACAAACAACACGTCACCCAGAGCATCCCGAGTGGCATGCAACTAAGGTAGGATAACCACAACTAGTCCCTCAAGTAATGCACCCCAGCCAAACAAATCAAGAATAAAAAACCAAATGACCCTCATGAAGTAAGCCATCTCATTCTTAGCTAGAAAAGAAAGAGAAGGCTACAGATGAAGAAACCATCTTCCAAGGCCAAAAGAATAGCACCCAAGCTTTCGAAGGAGAGCATGAAGAACACCAACCTTACACCTGGAAACGAGAACCAAAAAAAAAAAAAAAGACCAAAGGGGCAACTGAGAAGTAAGCAAATGAAAGAAAGACTAGAACACAAGCCAAAGATCAAGAAGGGCTCAAGAGGAAGGCAAAGTGAAAAATTGCATATTGTACGATACTACTTTTTTGTACCTACATTTTTCTTTAAATTTTCATGTAAATGTGTATATTTTTTTACTATATTTTATTTCTCAATTACACAATGTGCATTTTTTATTACTCAGTTGGAGGAGGGGGAAATTGACGTACGTCTGGCATCCTTCAAAGGTTGCTTCCTCAAACGAATGTCTCGACAACGACGCCCCTGAGGTAATCCCGAGGCCATCCTCGCCCACCCCAGGCCCACATCTACAAAGATACCTCTCAGCCCAGACCCACTGGCACAATTGTGGACCAGGCTGTTCATTAGGGACCTGGAGGAGGTGGCGCTCATGGTCTACCCTTGGCCTAGAATACCTATAACGAGGCTCTGACACATATATAAATCTGTTATAGCTTATACCAATTTTCTATCGTTAAAATGTAATGGAAATTTAAGACATTGTTTTTCTAAGAAAATATAATAATAATAATAATAATAATAATAATAATACTGTAACTGTTACTTATAAATATCTAATATGCTATACAAAAATATGTTGGAGCTTACATAGAAATTATAACACAGTTATACATATAGCACAGTACACTAGTGGGATTTATGATATGGCTCAATACATTGAGCCATATTTAATGATGAGGTAAAGAAGGAAAAAAAAAAGAGAAACATTTAGTACAGCATTAATGAACCCCATCACCAGGCAAACCTGCATAAGTTTCGATGTTTACCATACTGGTATACTGTAAATTATTTTAATGCAAATTGGTGTTCATTTTTTGTATTTATTATTACACTATTGATGGAATAATTGCTTGTGGCCATTAAACTGTTGCAAGGAACAAAAGTTATTTTACAAAAAACCAATTTGGGTTTCAATTATATGAATACACCACCAGTTTATGGACTTCAGAGGCAGCCATTTTTGTCTTTAACCAGTTTACATATATACAGGTAATAATTTAAAAGTCATGTTAAATAGGACTGTTGTACCGTACATATTGGTGCCTATATACTTATATCAATAAATGATCATCTATGTCCCTTACAGTAATATACCTCTCATATTGTACTTAAACATATCTGCCACTGCTATGTGTACCCACCATATACACATACACCTTATTCAAGGTGTACACTCCTTGCCAATACATTTGGCTTTATTTTGGTGTTTGTTTTGATAGTTCAGTTCTGGCAGAGAGAGAATAGTTCAAAAGTTGAATGCTATCAAATAATTTGTACAGTACAAATTATTGGCTATAGTAACTTGTACATGACTTGATCTTTTTGTGTATGCCATTTGTAACACTTTATGGATTGTTATAACCTCATATAACCTCTTAACATTTTGATATGATCGTGTACACGTGTTTGTGTGAACTTATATTAGGTAAGGTATACGTCTGGTGTTTGCAGTGATTTGAACTACACTGTATTGTCATTCACTTGTTTCTTAGAGCACACAACTATTTTCTATTATTAATGCCTGTTTGACTAGCAAACCCTTTAACCACTGCACTGCGCAAAGCGCCTTTAGGCGCTCAGAGAGTTGTGCTAATTGTTTTTTAATTTGGCTATATTTTAATGTTTTTTAATGTTTTCATTACTATTTGTGTTTTGAAATGGAAATAGTTGACTTTGGAAACATTTTGACATTAAATTTACCTGAACATTTGTAAAAATAACAAAAATATGTCCTTGACAATTGCACCAAGACGTTTTTGCCGAAAATAGGTGAGCAGTGCAAGGGTTAAATTAACTAGCGTGCAAGTACAGTAATAGATGAAGAAGGGGTAACATGGTTGAAGTATATAAATGGATGAAAGGGTATATTAAATGGGGAAATAATAGGGTTGTAAATATACAGTATCAATGCAAAAAAAAAAAAATATGGATGCAAGTTGGATAAGTTTACATTCAGAAAAGACCTGAGTAAGTATCGTACTGGTTGGGAAATAGGGTTATTAATTTTAACAAATTACTGTACCAGGTGATATTATAGATGAGGGACTGCTGGATTATTTCAAGTGTAAGAAAGTAAAGTAATTATGAGGACAAAATGTAAAGCCAGTATGACTATTTAGCATTTGTTGAATGATATGAGGACAAGGGGCCAAAATGGGATGGGGTGAAGGAACAGTGCCCAACTGCTTTTGTCCTCATATCCCTCACCAAGTGGTATTTAGTCATGCCAACCTAGGGCTCTGTCCTCAATTATTTTTCTTTTTACAGCTATTCTAATTTGCAAAGCAGTGATCAATGTTTGTTCCTCTAACAGGCTCTATCCACATTGCTCATGTACAGTATTTCAAGAATTTCATCAAGGCAAAAATATAATGGTGAAGAAAGTGATTACTGGAAATTTTGAGATCAGATGTTTTAGCAACATTGAATCTATTATGGATGATGCTAAAATTGTGTTATCAGACCTCAAAAGTGTTAATTAATACTGTACATGTACAGCACTTTTAACGGATGTGTAGAATCTAAGAAACTGCACTTCTATTTTATATGGATTCATCAGGACCTTTGCAGAGTATTTACCTTTGCAGAGTATTTTATAATGCAGTTAACACCCCAGTTATGTACTCTCCTCCATGGTAGTGCCTCCTCTATACAATACATCTTTATACACTATACAGTACTTGTATCATAATTGTTAAATGATCTTGTCATAGCACAGGTTTATAATTTTGCACATGTTTCTTGTTGATGGCTTTACAGAATTATAACAGAAAACCAGTGAAGGAAGTATCATTAACCTCCTCTCTTTCACATGCACTGTGATTTTCATCAGCTGTGTGAAGTAATATAAGCATGTTTTCATAAAGTAACAATGCAAAAAAGATAATGAGCTTGTATCATACCCATTTCTTTCTGTACATTTTTAAAGATATTGTACCAAGCCATGCAGCACTACATAGATGTTATTCCCAATACAGTACTTAAAAATACAGTATTGTTAATACAAGTACTAAGCAATATCTTACTGGAGTTAAGATGGAGAGTTAACACGAGAGGCACTAACACCAGTGGCCTCGACAAGGACAGGAAGCCGGAGGCTTATTGAAGGTCCCCCATTTGCCTTGATCTTTTCCAGCTGTACTTTTATAAGTTAACAGAGCTTTGGCATTTACAGCTTCAGCAGGTAGGCAGTTCCATGGGTTAATAACTCTGTGGATGAAAAAGCATTTCCTGTTCTCAGTCCCATATTGTGGCTTGTTGAGCTTGAACCTGTTGCTCCTTGTTTGTGTTACATCTGACCTTTTTAAGAAATTTTTCAGATCAACATCCTCCAATTGTTCAGTTCAGTACAAAATAAAATCTGGACCATCAACCATGAAGAGCTCAGTTCCCCAGGGTAGTGTGCTTGCTCCAGTATTTTTCCTCATCTTCATATCGAACATAGACAAGGACAAACTATAGTACCATATCATCCTTTGCATATGACACTAGGATTTTTATGAGAGTAGACAACATAGAGGATACAGCAAACCTCCAATCAGATGTCAATCAGGTCTTTCAATGGGCTACAGAAAATAATATGGTATTTAATGAAGATAAGTTCTAGCTCCTGTGCTACAGAATAAAATGAAAGCATAAAAATGGAAACCACATACGAAATGCAGTCAAATCATACCACAGAATGGAAAAGCAATGTAAAGGATTTGAGTGTACACATGTCAGAAGACCTTACCTTTAAAGAACACAAAGTAGCCATCGAATTTACTAAGTTCCTATGATCGAGCCACAGAGATATTACAGGAAAGAGATGGTTGGGTTGACTGCATCTATCTGGACCTAAAAAAGGCTTTCGACAGAGTTCCACATAAGAGGTTGTTCTGGAAACTGGAAAATATTGGAGGGGTGACAGGTAAGCTTCTATCATGGATGAAAAATTTTCTGACTGATAGAAAAATGAGGGCAGTAATCAGAGGCAATGTATCAGAATGGAGAAATGTCACAAGTGGAGTACCACAGGGTTCAGTTCTTGCACCAGTGATGTTTATTGTGTACATAAATGATCTACCAGTTGGTATACAGAATTATATGAACATGTTTGCTGATGATGCTAAGATAATAGGAAGGATAAGAAATTTAGATGACTGTCATGCCCTTCAAGAAGACCTGGACAAAATAAGTATATGGAGCACCACTTGGCAAATGGAATTTAATGTTAATAAATGTCATGTTATGGAATGTGGAATAGGAGAACATAGACCCCACACAACCTATATATTATGTGAGAAATCTTTAAAGAATTCTGATAAAGAAAGAGATCTAGGGGTGGTTCTAGATAGAAAACTATCACCTGAGGACCACATAAAGAATATTGTGCAAGGAGCCTATGCTATGCTTTCTAACTTCAGAATTGCATTTAAATACATGGATGGCGATATACTAAAGAAATTGTTCATGACTTTTGTTAGGCCAAAGCTAGAATATGCAGCTGTTGTGTGGTGCCCATATCTTAAGAAGCACATCAACAAACTGGAAAAGGTGCAAAGACATGCTACTAAGTGGCTCCCAGAACTGAAGGGCAAGAGCTACGAGGAGAGGTTAGAAGCATTAAATATGCCAAAACTAGAAGACAGAAGAAAAAGAGGTGATATGATCACTACATACAAAATAGTAACAGGAATTGATAAAATCGACAGGGAAGACTTCCTGAGACCTGGAATTTCAAGAACAAGAGGTCATAGATTTAAACTAGCTAAACACAGATGCCAAAGAAATATAAGAAAATTCACCTTCGCAAATAGAGTGGTAGACGGTTGGAACAAGTTAAGTGAGAAGGTGGTGGAGGCCAAGACCGTCAGTAGTTTCAAAGCGTTATATGACAAAGAGTGCTGGGAAGACGGGACACCACGAGCGTAGCTCTCATCCTGTAACTACACTTAGGTAATTACAACTGCAAGAAAAATGACAGGTTGAAAAACAACAACTTTTCAAACAAAGGATGCTGTACCAATGATGATATTCTTCAAGACACTAGTGCTCTCTAGAGTGAATTACTGCTGCACAATGACAGCCCCTTTCAAAGCTGGAGAAACTGTTGACCTGGTGAGCATGCAGAGATCCTTTACTGCTAGAATTCACTCAGTAAAACATCTAACCTATTGGGACCGATTAAAATGCCTAAATCTGTATTATCTGGAGAGCAGGTGGGAGAGAAACATAATAACTTACACATGGAAAATATTAAAGGGGCTGGTCCCAAACCTGCACACAGAAATAACACCACATGAGACCACGAGGCATGGCAGGATGTGCAGAATACCCCTGTTGTAAAGCAAAGGTGCAATACTCAGAGACAGAGAGAGAGAGAGAGAACTATATCAACATCAGAGGCCCAAAACTACTCAACACACTTCCTTTAGCAGTCCCCGTGGTGTAGTGGTAAGACGCTTGCCTGTCATTTCGCGAGTTCTTTGTCCTGGGTTCGTATCCTGGCCGAGGAGGATTTACTGGGTGCAATCCTTAACTGTAGCCCTTGTTTACCCATCAGTAAAATGAGTACCTGCTTGTTAAACGATTTGGCGGAATATATTCCGGGGGGGATACAGTACAGTATTAGGATTAAGAACCTGCCCAAAACGATTGTGTTAGTGGCTGCACAAGAATGTAAAAACTCTTATATGTTGTATATATAAATAAAATAAATTACACAAAGGGCATAACTGGCCGACCTCTCACAGTGTTTCAAGAAAGAACTTGATAAACACCTTCAAAGCAATACCTGATCAACCAGGCTGTGATTCATACATCAGGCTGCGAGTAGCCATGTCCAACAACCTAGTTGACCAGTCCAGCAACCAGGAGGCCAGGTTGAGGACCGGGCCGCGGGGACTTCGAGCCCCAAAATCATCGCAAGGTTACCGCAAGGTGGGTTGTCATGCCCTACATACAGGGTCTTGCATTTGTAAATATTAAATAGCATTTGCTAGTCATCTTTTCCAGCTGACATAGATGAGAATATTACAAACATCAAATTTGCAAATGACACAAAGAGTTATGGCAAAGTGGGAAATGATAATGATATTGAAGCCTTACAAAGAGATCTGCAGGAACTTCACAAATGCTCAGATGACTGGCAAATGCATTTTTAACATTGACAAGTGCACAACCCAGCATGGGGGTATAACAACCCGTGCCACAACTACCAAATTAATAACATTACATTACACCTGATTGATAAAGAAAAGGACCTTAAGAGTCAATATCCACTACTCACTGAAAATTGCACAGCTAGTAGGTGCAACAGTAAAAAAAAAAAAAAAAAAAAAAAAAAAAAAAAAAAAAAAAAAAAAAAAAAAAACTTAAAATAATCAAGCATACTTTGTTTTAAATATACCTGGAAAAGATCAAGGCAAATGGGGCAGGAGGGGGGGGGGACCTTCGACAAGTCGCTGGCTTCCTGTCCTTGTCGAGGCCACTAGGGTTGGTGGCTTTCAGGTAAATTCAAGCAAGAAAAGAAGTCTTAGAAATGTTGTCTTGCCTGCCTGATATTACTCTCAATGTGTATATTATTTATTTATACCATTTATTTCCCAATAAAATGAACATAGACTTTCCCTACTTCTCGCCTGACTTTGTTAGTTGACTTACAGTATATATATTCTAAAATATCAAAGTGTTCAGTGAGAATCCACAAGGTCTTCCCTGAGTACTCATTATTTTCTTCTCCGAGGCTATGGGTCCCTACACTTGCACCAGAGGTGGTACTCCCTATTCTAAAATAACTATTCCTAACCCATTGTTTAACCTACGACATTGTAAGACGGCTAAAAGCATTGTATATACCATTGTTGGGGACAGGAAGCCTGTTAAGCTGACTGTACATGTTCTTACTGAAGACAAACGTTGAGTGTGGTCACCCGTCCAGCCACTGGCCAGACCCACCTCTACTTATCCTCGCTCTCCGCCCTAGTAAAGTTCGCTATTTTTAGCAATAGTTTCTTCTGCGGACTGTAACCGCCCAGATAGTCCTTTTAAAATATGAAAAAATCTAAATCAAAATGTTTATTCAGGTAAAAGTACATACATATAAGATGAGTTACAAACATAATGTTGAATTTATAGATAGAGCTAATACATACAATACCTAAAAGCCACTAATACGCACAGCGTTTCGGGCAAAGTATATTTTATTTATTTATTTATCCATTTATATACAAGATATATTTCATATATATTTCATATATGAAAGGGATATTCATGGGTGTAAATGATTATAATAATTTTGGATTATAAGTATTGGAAGAAAAATACTGTCCTAATTGTGTAACTTTTAAGTTTTGATTCCGATTTTCAATCAAGTTTTGATTGATTTGATTAAGTAACTTTTGATTTTTTTTTTTTTTTTTTTTTTTTTTTTTTTTTTGAGATATATACAAGAGTTGTTATATTCTTGTACAGCCACTAGTACGCGTAGCGTTTCGGGCAAGTCCTTAATCCTACGGCCCCTGGATGGACGGTCACGCATGTTCTTTTTAACGGCAGCACACAAGATATGTAACACATTATATATAAATAATGTCTTGCATATCTTGCCCCTTTTTTATTTTTTATTAACAAGCTTAGGTATAGACAGCAATGTGCTGCTACCCTATTCCCTACACAGTGTAGATAAAAAACTAGCTAAAAGTTAATCTAATATTCCCATCTCACAGGATGGTTAGTCATATATGGAATCAGGGGGTGAAAATACCTGCCTCATTACACAAACAAATCACCACCACTCTTGGAATATCAAATAGGTATTTGTTTCTGGTGTGGTGCCCATGAGTTCTGCTACAACCTTCTAGGAAACTTTTAAGGTCAGGATTGACATTGCAGTTCAGAGTTTTAAATATATAGAGTACACATGAGAGGATGTGCGGTGACTTAATATCTAACATATTCAAAGATTTGAGCAAGGGTACCGAGTGATGTCTGGGGCCAGAGTTAGATATTTTTCTAATAGCAGCTTTGTGTTGAGTAATCAGAGAACATAAATGATTTTGGGTAGTAGAACCCCAAGCACAAATACCATAATTGAGATAAGGATAGATGAGAGAGTAATAGAGCGTCACCAAGGCAGGGCGAGGTACATAATATCTGATCTTAGAAAGAATGCCAACAGTTCAGTTAGTGTTGGAGTATGTCCCAGCTCTTGTTCACATAGTTTACAATTGGAATGTTGATCATTGGGAGATTCATTACCTGCAGCCACCCACTATATAGCTACCTCATCCCTTTGTGTGTATTTTACCTCAATAAACTTATTTCAATTTCAATTCAAAACCCACTATATTAATGGATAAATAAATAAATCAAATCAATAAAAATCACATAAATAATGATTATTTTCCTATTAAATAAAATCACATTAATGAAACATGCATTACATAAAGTTATTACATATGAATTATGTATAGGCGGGTTACTCGAATTATTTTCCAATTTAGCAAAAAAAAAAAAATATGATGAACATAGCTACTTTTGCTATATATTTAAAGCTGCTTATGACAATGCTTAGGTGGGCCAGCTCGACCAATCAGCGCGCCGAGGCTGGTTATGGCCGCACTGCCAACGTCCAGTTTCTGACCAATCAGAGCGCTCGAAGCTCCCACAACACTCACCTCTAGGATTTAAAACACCCAACGTGAGTTGAGCTGCTCTGGTTCATTTTCGAATTATTTTCCATTGCTATACTGGGTGCTGGCTGTTGTAAGTATTGCTGGAGACGCCAGTATTGATACCCTTGTTGTGTTCGGTTGATATTTGAGTTTAAATGACAAGATTTATTTATTGTAGTCGCAGGTGACGGCCGTGGTGGTCTTAAGTGTTTTTTAAATGTCAATAAAATTCTCACAGGATGCTTCGATGAAATTTGAATGATTATCCTTGTTAATGCCATGTTTTCCCCTATTCTGTATGCTGTACGGTATCAGGTTCCTAGTGTCCAGTCTCCCCTAGTCTGTTAGATTTACCTGAATATTTCTGTGAAATATTGAACACGACTAGTAGTCCCCCGTGGCGCAGCGGTAAGGCACTCACCCAGCCCTTTGGCCTGGGTTCGTATCCTGGCCGGGGAAGGTTGACTGGGCGCCAATCCTTAACTGTAGCCTCGGTTCACCCACCAGTGAATAGGTACCTGGTTTAACGATTTGGCGGGTCGTATTCTGGGAAAAATTAAGATTAAGGACTTGCCTGAAATGCTACGCATGATAGTGGCTTTACAATAATGTAAGAACGCTGGTATATATTAAAAAAAATTTCAGGTATATAAATATTTTTGAAATAAAGATGGGTGGGCACCTTTCCTTTCACCTAATGCTCTGTTCACCTATCAGTAAGTAGGTCTTCAAGAGTTAGTCAGCTTGTGGAGGTTGCATCCTGGCTGGAGTCAATAATTTTACCTTGGGGGGGGGGGGGAGGGAAGGGGACCTTAATAAAAGCCTAACATGTATGCTTACACTGGCATCCTGTCTCCTGATGCAATGACTTATTATAATGAATTATTTCTCTTAGCTTAAAAGTTACCCAAATGAAAGTTTGGTTTATATTAAGTGTGTATTCAGGACTACTGAGATAAAGTAGCAGTATGTAAACTCACTAGGGCTACTGTCTTCTCTCAATGTAGTCGGTTCAAAACGTAAAAGTTTGGGGTTTCGATTCCTGTATCAGGAGTCGGGGACAGATATTGGGCACGTTTATTTTTGCTTCATCTGATGCCTCTGTTCACTTTTAAGTACCTACTAGTATTTACTGATGAGTTAGGTAACTGTTGTGAATTGCGTACTGGGGAAGGCATGTGGTTTACCTAAGGGAACCGTGATAAGCTTGACAGGCTTCCTGTCCCTGATAATGGAAAGCATCACAGAATAGGTGACATTAAATTAACTATAAAACTGAATACAATTTATCCCTATTATGAAAGTTTTTTTAAAGGAATAGTAACTCAAAATATTGATTGATTTGTGTTATGTTCAAATTAGTGTTCTTTGCTGTAAAGACAACCTGGTTAATCAGGAAGTAGTTGTATAAATCAATACACCTCTTAAATTTATTTGAAAGACCAGATTTATTTTTTTGTTGAACCAAGAAATTGCTAAATATCAATCTACTGTACAAGCTTGAGTTTAATTTTGCCTTATTTTAAATTATAAGACATTATAGTGTTAATAAACACTAGCCAATTGTTTCTATGACTAGACAATGATGGAGCGAGAAAAGGAGAAGGAGAATGAACCTGCACAATCGGCACGACCTGGATTTGGTCCTCACAAGCTCCTCTCTCGTGTATACTCCGCTCCTGTCAAGCAAACTGTAGCAAGTGGTAAGTTTACATGCAATTTGTCATTCTGTGTTCAGGACAGAACCAAACATGCAATGAAATGCTATAAATGTATACATTTTTGTCATGAAACAGAGTTGCTATTTAATTATTCTGGGTTGAGAAATTAGATAGTTTATCTTGGCTATTACATGAATTTTTTCCAGCTTTCATGCAATATTTGGAGAACACATTTATGTATCGGCTTGCAACCTTCAGCATTTACATATGGTCATGGTAGAAAAGTCTGTTATTATTGAACCCAAAAATCACCTAGTGGCAGACATCAGAACCATTTATATTGGCATTAGGCACAAAACTTGGAATCCTTGAATGATATATTTACAATGAATGAGCCTAAGTGAGGCTGTACCAAGTATTTCTGTGCTCATGGTCTGATGCCAGGGTATGCTCCCAGAATAGTAGTCTCAATTTAACGAACATCCTTGCAACTTTTGTACTAGTTTACTTTGTATATATTTTTTATAGCAAGGATCATAAGATGCATAATTCAGGTTTTATATGCATTTGTCTTGGAACCATATTGTAAACTATACATGTACAGTTTAGTATTTGATGCCAGAAGCTCGTGTGAAGCAGGTAACAGCAGCAGCATACAAGACGTTGACAAACAATAGAACAACATTTAAGAATCTAAAGAGGAAGCTTTTAAAATCCATATTCACTGCCTCTGCGATACCATTACAAGTGTATGCAACACCAGCATTGAACCCACACCTCTTGAATTGCAAAAGAAAACTTAAGCAGAGGTTTGCAACTAATCAGAATGGGAAGGGCTTGGCTGTGAAGACAAGTTAAGGGAACTAAACCCCACAATCTTATAGGAGAAAAGAAATGGAATGATACTTAATTCATTTTGATGGGGGGGACAGGCAACCCGTGTGTATTTATACATGTTAGGCTTATATTGAGCTCCCACCAAGGTTGAATTACTGTCCCCCCCATTTTCCTCAGGTTGCATCCCCACAAGCTAACTCCTGGGTACCTACCTACTTCTAGATGAACAGTTACATTAGGTGATAGGAAATGCTGCCAACCATTTCTGTCCTGCCCAGGATTTGAAACGGGAATTCTCGACTGTGAGTTGAGAACGTCTGCACTACCGGGACCCTCAAATATGACTGGCATAATATGAGCTACATACATAATACTGAAGGAAATGACAATATGGACAAGGGCAGCCTTTTTAAATTGAATTGTTAGCATGAGAGACTTTGTGGAAACTGGATACACAATTAAACCATAGAGATGCAAGGAAGTTCTCATTGCCTGTACACAGGTGGCCAGCAAGTAGAATGCACTGAAGTACAGTACTACAATTGTTAAAAACCACTTTCATCCACAACTTTAAGAAAAAACATGACGAATGTTGAGAGCAAAAATTAGCACAGTAGGTGTACATGGCTAAGGGGCAGGGCATAGAGCTTGGTCTCATTTCTCCATAGTCACTGATAAGTAATCATCACATATCTCCACCATCACAACTTGCACATCCTGTCAGGCTAATTGCACCCCACCGTACTCATGACATCACCGTTTGTACCCCCCCCCTTGGTCAATTTTTGTTGGATTGTACTCGTTCTATCAAACCAAATCTGGTTTTGCTAAATTTTATTGTGCTGCTGTATCTGCTATAATTTTTGTCAGTTTATCTTGATATTTAATACCGATTTCATTAGTTTGTAAGGTATTTAGCAAGGCAAGTAACATAGTAGTATTCAGGTTTTCTCTTATTTTTAGCCTCAAAAATTGTACCTAGTAAACCAGCAGTAGCCAGTCAAAAGGTATCCCACATTCTTGAGTCCAGCAAGCCAAATGTCTCCTCTCAAAAGCGCCCAGGAATCCAAGTGTCACGGAAACCTCTTGGTGATGACACTAATCAACAAAGACTCAAGTCTACCACAATGTCTACTGCAGGTACTAAAAAAAGATAGTTTTCCCTACCTAGACTTAAGCCTTAAATTTAAACTTGCATGGATATATTTTAATTAGATAATAAGAGCATAGTTACAAAGTAATCACAATTCAAAAAACTTTTTTTATATAACAATACAGTAATTATAATGTCGCTAGTTTTACACCGCCAGCAGATTCAGGAACTAGCTTGGATCAAACTCGGTTTTAATGCAGCCCAGGTAATTCAGATTTAACTTTAATAGGATTTAGATTTTGTCAACAATCCACCACTTTTAGTTCAGTAGTTCCATAATATCCTCAAGATATCCAACTACGGATATCCCAGCTTTCTTTGCTGACAGTTTTTTTTTTTTTTTTCCTGTATCACCATTATTCATATCACTCATTCTTGGTAATCTTTTTTTTTTCTTTGTTTTGTTTTCCTTTTTTTTAACTTGTAGTAATATTTGTTGCAAAGATGTTGAAAATAAGTGAATTAAGAGTTACATTGTAATGTAACTAGATTGACTATTTCCCTGATGAAAGAAGAGAATTCGTTTGTGAAATATTTGTTATTGTATTTTAGTGCTACTTCACTTCTATGTTCCTCTTGGTCAACCCAGAAACCACTGGGCTTTTTCTGACTTTAATGGTATGTACACTTAAATATTGTACATAAATATTTTAATTATACTTCAAACCGGATGTTGCTCTTGCTACTTCTAATAATAAGCAGGTACTGTACTATTTTTTTTCTTTGCTTTATCCTGCTGTAAATTTAAAACCAATGTGCTTTATTCTCTTTTATGTAAATACTGTAGTTACAAAATATTCTAGGGACGATGATCCAGAAACTCCTATGGTTACCCACATTTAAATGAAAATCTCAACATGTCCTCTTGAGAATGTTTGGTAATTAGTAGTTTCCAGACAATCTTGCAACCACTGCAACACATTAAAATTAAGACACCTGAGGTACAGTATTAGATGTGGGCCTTGGATGTCGATGCCATCATCTACCAAGGTGCCACCAAAGAAGGGCATTTCACTATCCGAAGCTTTATTTGTTCTGTACTCTGATGTGGAGTAATGTTTCTATTTGTAAAAGTTTGAAAGGTCATTATAAAGAAAATGTCTCAAACATATAAACAGTGCATTATTAATTGTATTAAAAGGGATGTTTGGAAATGGTTAGATAACTGGGTAAAATTACCAAAGGCAGTGTGAAATTTGTTTCACTTTTATAATATGGTGATGGAAAATGTATTACTGTAATTTATTGAGTTTTATACACTTACCATACTATAACTTTATTTAGTAATGACAACTCGGTATTTTAAGGAAATGTACACGTTCAATCTTAAAATGCTTGTTTACAGCTTCCAAGCCCCCACATGGACGACAGTTGTCAGCTTGCAAAGTTGGTTCCAAAGTCTCAGGAGGGACAAATTTTCCTCCTCCACTCACTGATCCCGAGGCACGACTCCAGTCACACGGCTCGACTGCAGCTCCAAGAAAACCACTCTGCTACTCTTTAAGCAACACTGCTACACAATCAAGTATTAAATATTATCTTTATTACTTTGTTTTAAAGGGTACTAAAACAGTCATTATAACTGTCACTGCACATACTTTAGACATTATTTGATTATCCAAGGTATTTGCCAAAATGTTTCTTGGTTTAAACTGCATGTATTGAGACTTTCATGTTAGTCATTGATGATCTTTTACTTCAGTCCCCCCATAAAAATCTGGTGCCTGCATCATTTGATAAGATTGCACAGTATGCAACATTTGAAGCTTGCAAAAGCTGGTACCATAAGGTGATGATGGTGGTGACATTGTGACCAGAATGCAGTACTATAATATAAATTATATTTTACCTTGTGGCCACTCGGAAATATTATCAAAGAATATGGTCCTGGAAACTACTTGCCACCTATATACAACTCAAACTGGTAGCTGTTAATAGGGGCTTGCTAATTTCTGACTGGTATTTTGGTCAAAAATTACATTAAAAAGATCATAGCTCTGGTAACCTAGTACAGTACCGATAAGGAATCGGGCATAATGTGAAAGCTCACGTACCATGAAATGTACCTATAAATATGTGCTTGAACAGGCTCCCCAAGACTGCGTTTTTGAGCCTGTTTGCGCAGTTTGTAGCTCTGCTTAATATTTAATTCATGGTAAAGAACTAAATACATTTCATGATTTTAGTTTTGATATATACTTAGGCAAAGCTTTATTCTTAACAGAGAAACCCATTCCCAACAAACCAACTGCTCGACCAAGGTCTGGAGATGGCAAGATGCCAGTAGTTACATCAAAGACAAAGGCACACTCTTTATCTTTATGTGACCAGACTTCAGTTCAACATGGTCAATCAAAATTGCCGAACACTACTGCAAGCACTAAAGTGCGCAAGTCAACTGAAATAGGTAATTGTATCAGTTGTCAAAATTAAATATTTTTTTAGAAGCATCTGTACAGTACACCTATACTATATACTTAAGATAGTTTGTACTTTAAGTAGAATGTAAAGTAACAGAAACAAATGTAATAAACAGGGTTAAGGTGAATGAATTTGAATTCATTAGGCATCCCCAGCTGGTGTACAATGTACAGTATATTGTACTTGCCGTTTTGTAATTTTTTCTTCTGCAGCTTTACATTTAATACGTTCAACTGAGTTGATATCTACAGTGTGTGTGTGATTATAAAAAGAAACTTAGCTTCTTTATTGGTCAATATATCTGAATGGTAACTTGTTACCATATTATTTTTGTGAAAATTTAACTAGACAAGGATAAATTTCAGTAATGACAAATTTCATTACCAAGCTACCAAATTTCAGCTTTCCACTTCCCTCTGTCACCCCCTACCTAACACCCACATCACACTAATCCTAATTCCCCTCCCCCCTTCCCCTCCCACATCCAACCCCTACAACATTCTTATCTCCCGAGTCTTAATTTCCTTTGTGGCCCTCTTCATTTGGGTGAGTTATATGTATATTGTTAGACTACCAGAGAGGTTTTGATACTATTCTATGCAAGTGTCTAGTGCACAAATTGGAGAAGCAGTAATAACAAATGATACTGAATTAGACAAGAGAGAGCCTGATGGTCAAAACACACAAGGTCATTGTCTAAGGGTATGTATAAAGTTGGAGAGGCATGGAAAGCACAGCACCACAGAGTTATGTTCTAGGAGTCTTGCTGTTTCCAATAGATGCAAACAATGTACGAGAGGAAATTGGGCTCATGTATGTGTTATGAGTTAAAAAAAAAAAAAACTGAAGCTGACTGTGTGCCGAGGAATGACCTTGACAAGCATCAAGTTTGGTAAACAAATTGGTGACAAACCAAACAGTAAGGGAAGCTAGATAGGAGACCTGAAGGAATCTGTACAATAAGGGAACGGGAACGTCTCTTGGTGTGCAGATAATTACTTAAAATGCAGTAACCCACAGCCCAAGAAATTCATACACTGAAAATTACACATTTAATTTGAAATAACCTATTGGTATATCCAACCAGAAATGTTAAGTCCTGACTAAATGAATGGAAATCCTGTAGAGTATTGCAAAGATTTTCATGTGAAAGTCACAGATCATTATAGATTGTGTAAAATAAGAAAAATTTGAAAATGATAGGAAATAAATTTTTTAGTCCTGGCATAAAACCATTTCAGGAGGAGCAGGATAAAATGTATGGTAACAGAATGGGTAACTACCAATATTAGACAAATAAAAATGCACACATCTCTGCTTCTCCACTAATGTACCTCACTCCATACCATCATCCTCCTATCTTCCTTCTTATGGGCAAAAGATTTACCAAGTGTGCTCCATAACTATTGGGTAGTAGATAGTAAACGTAACCTATGGGTGAAGCAGTCAAAAGATGCTTAGTTTAGATGCTTTTGTAAATAACCTGGACTAGGAGTTCATGCATGTAGCAATAACAATTATGAATGGTAAAAAAAAATCCTGAACTGGATATATTTTATTTAATTGTATTTACAGTGGTAGTAACATTTGGTTACCATAGATTCATTAGTAATCACATTCCTTTGGCCCTCCATTCCCGTGCTTGGTTTAGGGCTAAAAACAATTACACACCTTTTCTGTCTTATTATAGGCATCAATATTTTATTTCAGGTGGAAACTGGTCAAATATAAAAACTAATGTGAAAGCTATGGATCAAGCAAAACCAAGTTCAGCCAGCACTTGCCGTAGTTTAACCAATGCTAGTCAGCCGCAAGTACCTACCACCTGTGCTAGTCTTCCGCTAATATCCACGGTGCCAGATTATGAAAGACTTACTAATACAGATAGTCTTGAAAAATACACAATTATAGATTGCACTAAAGAGAGCGTAGCAACAGATTCTAAAAATGGCGTGCCCAGTAGTGTACTACTAACCCATACAAATTATAATCCATCACAAAAACCTAAAATCAATGATGATGCTGTGCTAAGGGAAGCTTGCAAGACACAAAAGGCAACTGTTACAGCCTCTGTCGAATGTGTGGCCCCACAAAATGCTACTATTCCAGCCTCAGTCGAACATGTACCACAAAATGCGGCTGTTCCTGCCTCGGTCGAACACGCACCACAAAATGCAATTGTTCTGGCCTTGGTCGAACGTATACCACAAAATGCAGCTGTTCCAGCTGCGGTCGAACATGTACCACAAAATGCGGTTGTTCCAGCCTCGGTCGAACATGTACCACAAAATGCAGCTGTTCCAGCCTCGGTCGAACATGTACCACAAAATGTGGCTGTTCCAGCCTCGGTCGAACATGTACCACAGAATGCCGCTGTTCCAGCCTTGGTTAAACATGCCCCACAAAGTGCGACTGTTCCAGCCTCGGTCAAACATGTACCACAAAATGCGACTGTTCCAGCCTCAGTCGAACAGGTGCCACGAATAAAGGAGTTAGTTCCAGTATCAGAATGTTCAGGAACTAACAAGGAACCTGTCATTAACAGTGTTCCAAGTGCAGTGAAAATAATTTCTCAGGAAGAGCAGCCTACAAGCAGTTCTAATGACCAGTCCCAGTCTGCTACTTCAAAAGATGAGAATTTCGATGATGAAAAGAAAGACGAGGATTCATCAAGATCAGGGTATGTAAAAACAAAATGCAGTAATCCTCGGTACTTTTCTGAAGTTTCTTGAGATACTGTACAGAATATGTTTGACTTTGATAAATTACCTATAAATTAAATACAAATTTATGCTGTTCTCTTATGCTGTTCTCTTAGGAAAATCCACATTTTCAAATATTTAGTTAATTTAAAATTTTCATTTTCTGCTACTCGATAAAATTACTTTCACAGGAGAACTTGGTCATTAGATGATTTCGAGATTGGGCGTCCATTAGGTAAACTTATGCTGTTCTCTTAGGAAAATCCACATTTTCAAATATTTAGTTAATTTAAAATTTTCATTTTCTGCTACTCGATAAAATTACTTTCACAGGAGAACTTGGTCATTAGATGATTTCGAGATTGGGCGTCCATTAGGTAAAGGCAAATTTGGAAATGTTTACCTCGCAAGAGAGAAGAAATCACATATGCTGCTTGCTTTGAAGGTACGAGATGGTTGTCTGTTCTGTACTCGCCTAGTTGTGCTTGTAGGGGTTGAGCTTCAGCTCTTTGGTCTGTGTATCATATATCTTGTGAAATTATATTTGAAGAGGAAGAGACGCTAAGTAAAATATCTATTGCAGGTGCTATTCAAATCTGTGTTAACGAAAGCTGGTATTAGCCATCAGGTGCGCAGAGAAGCAGAAATTCAGTCACATCTCAAGTAAGTGTAAAATATAAATAACAAATTTGGGCTGTTAGCTAAATATCTTATTACTAATGTATGAAACAGAAATGCTTAAGTTGATTAATAAAAAAAATATACACCGGGTACTTTAATAATTTCATGCTCGAGGCTGCATTGTCGGCATTAAACATCTGAACAATTGGGAATATCTAAAGGGATGCTAACTGCAGAGTTGCAGTTGGGTGTAAAAATATTATTTTTTTTTTTTATTAGAATGTATTTGAAGTTTTGGGCCTATTTTTTTAATAGGCCCAAACTACTTACTAGTGGAACAAGATAAGAAAACAGTTTTCAAAAAGCAGGGGGTTCAGTTAACAAGTATGATAAACATCATGAGACATTCAATAACTGAGACAGGTTGCTAGTAATTATACAACTTAGCTGAGTAAGGTATCTCAATAATCTGTAAATACGAGTGGGGAGATTGGGTAAGTCTCCGGACACCCACACCGTTGAAAAAAATTAGTTACAAATTCCAGTTGAGACAGTAAATTGAATAGCAGATGGATGGCATTGTCATATCACCAACCTCACATAAAACTGTGTTATTGAAATACCGTATCAGATATTTGCTTATAGCAAGTTAGCCAAAGAAATAATGCATTGGGGTAAGTACCTTGCAGTGTAACATTGCTCTAATGAGTTTGGCCATCTTTAGTTAAAAAGAGCCTAGGCAGTTCTTATCCTGCACTTGTCAGATAAAGCTGATGCTTGTTGATTGTTTCTGAACCTGGCCTGTTGCTATTAGTAATGGCTGGTATTAACATTTATTGGCTAGATAAATTGTAATGTTGCAGAATGACTGACTGATTTCAATGACTCGTGTTTCAAGACATGCATGTGGTTAATTTATGAACAAATATTTCAATATTTATTAATGAGTGGGCTTTTGCTGATGTGCTGGGGGCAAGCTGGTAATGTGCTTGCCTTGTTCAGCCAATATACTGTGAATAATATATGTTTACCTATATTTTGACCTTGGTTTATATTCTCTTTAATTTATGCTTACATATACTGTAAATGATTTACTCATATGATCAATGACAGATATACAGAATTCAAATGTGTGATTGATTTGACTGCTATATGAGGAATGGCGGCTCTTATTGTTTATGTAAATGAGGTTGTGAATGATTCCATGTGTACCTAAACATTCTCACAGCAGTATATTTGTTGCTGTGAGACATTTATAGTAATTTAAGTTTGTGGCAGGTTTGGGTCTGCTAGATATGTAAACAAGACTCCAGAAATGACAACATTGGGAATGCCAGGGTTAACCATCATTAGATGCTAGTGCACCTTGATACAGAAGATAACGTCAAGAATTGAGTCCTTGCTTATTCGCATAACTTGAGGCTGAAGCCACTTGGGACAAAATGTGCCAAAAGGCTGGTTGCCTTCATTGGCAACCTATTTGTAGTTAGTCAGGGCTCAGCTTGGTGATAAGCTTCTGGGGTCTGTCTCCACACTGGGCTCAATACAGCATGAAACACGGTGGTCTATATCCTGATATAAGAAGGATGAAAGGTGGTGGTCTTTCACCTGATAGCTCTGTTCACCTAGTAGTAAAATAGCTACCTAGGAGTTAAGAAATTGTTGTAGGATGCATCCTGGGAAAGATCGGTAGTTGGCCTAGGGGTACCTCAATAAGCCTAGGTACAGGCTTCCTGCCCTGATAACTAAATTATTTAATAGCACTAAGCATGTACAATACAACTTTAAACAGTTTGTACAATTTTGATTATTATTTCCCCAGACACCCAAATATTCTTCGGATGTTTGGATACTTTCATTGTGAGAAGCGCGTTTATCTCATCCTTGAATATGCTCGCTATGGTGAGCTGTACAAAGTTTTGTGTTCACAACCAGACAAACGGTTCACCGAACATCAGGCTGCTAATTATATAGTTCAGGTAGGTGTCTGCTTGATACTTGTTTGCAGTTGTAGGTTCATTTCTGCAATATTTTAGGTTTTGAATAATATATAATATTATAGTTTACCAATATATGTGTTATTTTCCAGCTGGTGAGTGCACTTAAATACTGCCACTCAAAAAAGGTGATTCATAGGGACATAAAACCTGAAAATATTTTAATATCAACCAATGGTTTGCTGAAGATTGCTGATTTTGGTTGGTCTGTTCACTCGCCTAATGAAAGGTTTGTATTTGTGATGCATTTTATATTATTATAGTATATTATTGCATGCTTCCAAATGAGTTGTAACTTCATTTTGTTTCCAACCTTACAGTTGACTTTTCATTCTGTACAATTAGATTACTGTTTAAAGTCTCCACTCTAAGTGAAGGTTTCACCAGCAAGAGGTTTTATTCATTAACATAACAGATGGTTGATGACAAACCATCAATGTATTTTGTGTATGTATTAAAAAATATGCAAGCTCTGATTGTTAAATAATTGTATTAATTTTTGTAATACAAGTTTTAAATTGTTTTTCTGGATTTTTTCCCATAAATCTTACTTGTTCTTCTGTCATCAACACTGGGTTTTGGCTTCCTCGTTGATTGCATTTACATGTTTGTAAATGTTTACAAGCAATGCATTTGCATTTTGATTTGCATTGTAGGGTAGATGTGACAGGGGATTTTAGGTAAATTTTCAGAGTTCTCATTTTTCTAAACAAATTTGGTTTGATTAGTTTTCCTAGTATATGTATATATGTTGTAGCATGTTTGTGCTATAATTCTCAAATAAGTATGTTTGGCAAGGGTTTGAGGTCAAACCCTGTGAATATATGCACTCATTTTATATTCATAATTCAGTCTACTACCTGGATTGGCTGTCATATTAATGGCTTTTTGTATTTGCTTGGTAGATTTTGATTGTATATAGTTGTTCCGGCCATCTTTCCTAGTTGTCTTTACATGAATACAGTATGTATAATAACTATCATTGCATGAATAAATTCTATACTAAACAACATTACTTCTCAACCTCACTTCTTGCACGGTTCTCTTGATTATTTATGCGAGTAACTATGAAATTTAAAGACCAAATTAATTTTTGATTGCAGAAGGACGACACTCTGTGGTACTTTAGATTACCTGCCTCCAGAAATGATCGAAGGTCGTAAATATGATGAGAAGGTTGATATTTGGTCCCTAGGAGTGTTGTGCTTTGAATTTATAAGTGGAAAACCCTCCTTCGAAGCAACTACAGAAACCGAGACCTTCAGAAGAATTGCTAGAGTTGATATACGCTTTCCTTCCTTCTTTTCCGAAGAGGTTCAGGACTTGATATGTAAGGTAAGATACTTTAGCATTATACACTGTGAATATAAAGTTACTCTCTTAAATATGCTTTGCATAGTTTTACGTACTTAGCTGGCATTAAGTACTTGAATTTTATTGACTTTTTATATCTATAATGCATTAAGTGTTTACAGAAATCCTGTAAACCAGCTGTCTTCGTTAATTGTTTTTACTAAAAGTGACACAATTAAGTTGTAAATTTAGTGTGTTGATATTAGTGTAGTATTATACACCAGGAATGTGTAAGGCTACCATGGTTGTCTTGAAGTCAGTAAGAATAGAGGATTGAATAACAAGTCTTGACAAGAATAATTTAAGTTTTGTAAAGTAAATGTAATGTATGCAAGTGTTAGGTAGTTTTTCCTGCCAAAAATTAGTTATGACAGTACAGTAAGCAGGTTTGTTGGCATGTGAGTGAAGATTGCTTAAAATTAATGTGGACAAGATTAAAGCAATGATGGTTGAGAGAAGGAAAGTCGGTACAAAATAGGCGTCCAGAGAGATGCCCTAAATGTAGTCGGTCAATTAAAATACTGTACCTGGGTTCTGGAGGTAACAGTAGACTGAGGATGACAAGTAGCTTATGCAATGACTGCCTGGTTAGGGTGACTAAAATAGAGATGTAGCTAGTGGTGCATGGAGTGGTAGTGCTTTCTCATGTGAATGGATGCAACATGATGGTGGTGTGATATGAGCATGAAAGATATAATTAGTGATGTTGAAATGGATGTTATGAGATTCATTATTAGTGTCGGTAAAATGTATGGAAAAATTTGTAAATCATAAGATTGATTGGGCAATCAGATGGCCATAATGCTATAATGACTATTCAAGAATGGTGAAGAGAGTAAAATGGTGAATTTGAAGATAGGGAGAGAGGAAAGCCATGAATACAAAACGGTGCTTACATCTTGGTAAGGTAAGCTGCTAGAGCACCTATTTTCCTTGTGTGTGTGATGTGGCAGTATGTTCTCTAGAAGGTATTGTTAGTGGATTGGATGTATTTTTTTAGTATCTGTCTTCTGTAATTGCTTTCCTAGCTCTTACAACAGATGCCTCCATTACCTTAAAAGCTGAGTACTGTGCAATAAAGATAAAACAAAATTGCAAAACACAATATAGGTGAAATCCTTTTAAAAATACAGCTGCTTTCAAAGGAATACTAACGAATATGACTCATCAAGCTTTACACTTTTCTAGAGTTCATTATTGTCAAACAAGTAATGTATCTTTGGGCTAATTGAATGTCTGAAAGTAATGTATTAGGGCGAGTCTAGTAAGAATGTGTGGGAAATAGTGATTTGTTTGAAATTGGTGGTTAATTGTGCGTATTTTATGAGTGTTCGTTATTCTGAATTGAAATTTTTTGGTTTGGTAAACAAAAGTAAGGGGTCAGTTTTTTTTTTTTTTTTTTAGATTTCTGAATAGCTAGTTTTACAATTTTGGAAGCAAAAGCGAGAAATATATTTGAGAGGATGAAGAGTGGAAGGCCATGGAAATTTGGAAGCATGGAAAGTTTTAACATTTTGTGGCATAAAGGTGAACAATGCATGAGAAGCAGAAATGATTAGTGCTTAATAGGAAATGGTAGGCCAAGAGGGAATAAAAGATTGGCATTTTGTTTGTGTTTTGTAAATAACTTTGCATCTTTTCTATGAAATAATAGGTACTGTTGTAGAAATTTTACTGGTACTGTATGACCGTAAACATTTCCTGGATGTTTTTATGAAGGTATTTGCATTTAGTAAATTTATTGCTATTGGAATGGTTTTTTGGATGTGTTACCTGTTTATTTACCCCTTTTCTTTAAATTTTCCCATCCTTTGTACAAATGTATCACTACCTAATGAATGTGGCTAACAAGATAATGGTGGAGATACTTAATTTAGTCATTGATTTGCAAGTCAAGAATGAAGACTGAAAAATACATTTTTAATTTCTGATTGTTATTTGCTGTAAAAATTTGGGCCTGGACTTGACCAATAATTTAAACTCTTGATACTCTTGCAACAGCTACTACGCTACAACCCAAAAGAACGACTGAGTCTAGATGCAATCATGGAACATCCTTGGATCAAGATGCACTATGATCCAAATGTACCTCCCCCAAATCCTTGTGCCAAGTAGATTATACAGTTACGTAAAAACTCTGCCTCATTTTCATGCGTGGAATCTTGAGGAATAGCATTGTAATTACGTGACGATTATAGACTGAGGAATACTGCTGCTAATATATATTAATGTGTATCATTCTGTAATTTGATTTAGTTTGTCTAGGATTGTTTTTTTTTTTTTTTTAATTGGTTTTAATATTTATTTTTCTTGGTCTTGAAAAACTACTGTTGCAATAAGGCAGTGTGTGCTATTTGACATTCTGACTTTCAGTGTCATATTAAACAAATGAAAATCACATCCAATTATAAAGTTTAATTTAGTAATTTAAGGAAGATACATTTCATCAGCATTAACATTTGCCTTGGTGGAAAGAGTCATAAGTGTGGGAGAGGACCATTTTTTCTTAGTCTTTCACTGTTAATTAACTGTAAATTGCTTACTTTCTCTAAGTGTTAAGATTTGTAAAAAGTTTAATAAAATTATAATAAACCAACTAACATCAGTCTCATTGAATATGGCACACGTGCTGTGGGATTTTTAAAATTTGCTTTACTATTTCCTTTTCAAAATGTATGGTGTTAAAATGCTTTTGACTTTTAACAAGAGAAAATCAGTTTTGAAAGGGAAAAGAAAGTTTCTTCTTTGAGCCTCATTTCTTTAGAACCTGATTTCCATGTGTTAGATAATTAAAGAGCTTTCTGAATTCATGGTTTCATGGTTTTCCTTGCCCAAGACATGAAATTGCTTAAAGCACGAACAAAAAAAATGCTTTATGGAGTTCTTTGCTGCATGTAGTTTGGTGGGGATTTCTGATCCTGTGTTCTTGGATTGAGTTCAAAAACAAAACATTTTTACACTCTCAAATTGCTGGCTGAACACTGATAAATTTTGCATCCTTGGGAATCTATTTGCATCGTATTAAAACTTTCAGTACAATGTACAGTAGTATTCAGAAATACTTCCACCCACACTTATAATTTTTCACTATTCATTTGCCTTAATTGAAGCCAACTTTAAATCTCATTTTCTTCACCTCCCCATTGTTTTCATGTAGTCTGTATACATTTTCTTGATAAGCGTTGCAAATGTTTATCTAGATTACATCTACTGTTTTGAAATTTTGTTGTAGATGGCTTGCATATCAGTTTTCAATGTGTAAATATTCATTAAATATCCCTATAGTGACCTACAATTAGGAGAATGACATTCTACATAGCTGTGTAAGGGTTTTAGACAAGTGTGGTCATGAAATAAATTCTGTTCAAAAAGTAAGACTTTGACCCAATATTTGCAAACAAGTTAATGAGGTTGCCTGTAGAAGTGTGACCATGTGGTAAGTAGAAGGTAATATCATTCCCCATTGCAGATTCTTTTATTTGGCTACACACGAGTTTCGATGCTCGTTTTCCATTATTTATTTTCTATCAATAAATATTGTTTTCTCGTGCTTTTTCTTTGTCATGTCTTGTCTTGGTTGTTGTAACCCTTCTTGCATGTGGGTCTACAGTGCGCTGTTCCCATTTTTCACTTATTTCTCGGGGCAAGCCACTATTGCTTCACTTGTTTGATAGCTGAATCACCATGTTTTTTTTTTTCTCATGTTTGGGTTCAGCTACTAGAAGAGGGAATCAACACTTGGTCATTTGTTATATCTGCAGAAAGTTACATGTATGGCCAAACCTTCAAAGACAAAACTGCCAGAGAATATCGCAGACATTAGTTTTTAATACAGTATATAGAATTTTCTTTGTTTGATATATATATTCTCTAAAATTGGTAACAAATAATTACTATAAACATTGCATTTTTATGGGGCTGGTTCATTTATCATTTTGATGTACAGTACAGGTTTTCTTTGGTATATGCTATGTTTAGTATAAGTTCTTTTTCAGTATTGTATTGCACATAATTATTGTACAGTTCTCTTAACATTTAGTGTTAGCCTTGTATGCCATTTCCTCAAAAGAATCACATTTCTAAAAGTTTTGTTTTAATTTATTTAGCAGCCAAACCAATGTGACAATTATTCAGTTTTCTGGGTTTTGCTTTTGGTTCGCAATATTTTAATTGTGAAATGGTAAGGATGCAAAAACAATTCAGAAACTTTACAAATGGCTCGGTGAATAAATTGACCTTGCCTGTGATGGCATTAGATGTTGATTATATTTGATTGTAAATCTTAAGATACATTGGCATCTCCAAAATCCAGAACATGTTATTTTGGACCTAATTTAAATTTTCCAGAATTTTTTTTTTAGGGGTGGGGGTGATGGGCTATTTATCACAAAATTTTTACGTTTTGACATGTAAATCTCCAACTGAATATGAGCCCTGAAATATTTTAATTATGCTCATGGCACCAACTATTTGTAATGTATAACTTGTCTACAAGAGTCATTAAAAATGATCCAAGCCATATTTAAGTATAATAAGAGACCAAGGTTAATATTGATGCCTGTCCATTTTAAATTGTACATGAAAATTGTCAACTCTGGTTTACATATGTTTATTTAGGTTTGTCTGTGATATATTTAACAATCTTCATTAATTTGGGATTTTTCATTGATGTCCTATTTCAGGATTTGCTTTTGTGGAAAGTAAAACTATAGAAAGATATTATTTTAGAAATGTATGTCCACTTTTCACTTGGATGAAGTGAAAGCTAATAAATATTCCAAATTGTACAGTAGATAATTGTTTTCCATCTGCTCTTGGATAGTTTCTGATGTTTTTTCTAAGCATGGCCATGCTAATGCTAAACTTTATAACTATAAGGTCCTTGGTGAATCGGATATCTGACATTGCTCATATTATCTATTTGTTCTGGTATTGGCATCCTGAGAGATTTGGTATCATATCCTGTGACAAGAACGGTGCTAAATACTGTAGCTTTCCCAGTTTCATGCCATCAAACTAGGATTAAAACCCTGGAGCTGTATTCAAAGCAAGAACAAGCCTCTTCATGAAAATTACCTTGATTCACCTGAATTATATGAAGGAAAAGAATGATTAGTGGACTAAACAAATTCAAAGTGGCAGGGTGTGACTTGGGAATGTGTAGTCAAGAATGCTTTTAAGAATTTGTGGAATAAAGTAAATGTTTTAATATTTGGTGGATAAAAAGGGTAAACTAAGATTAAAATTAATGTAAGTCTAATGCAGTAGAAAATTCAGTTATACATTGATAAATAATTCAGAAATATTACAGGTTACATCTGCAAAGATGCAACGAGCTCGAAAGAGCTTCCTATATCTCGCCCTTTCCCTCCTAAACTGTCCATTGCCAAAAGTCACCTTGTTCACAAGGGATAAATTAAGTACTAATTTTAAAATCTGCACAAGTCAGTAAGTGGCTTATCTATCCGTTTGAAAAGGGGTTGTTGGTTTGTGGAACAAATTGTTGGGTAAAGCAATAAGACGTGAAACTGAATTCTTTCAATGGTGTTGGGGGGGAGGGGGAGTTAACTCGATGATTTCGGGGCTCAGCATCCCCGTGACCTGGTTCTCGACCAGGCCTTCATTTTGTTACCCCTCAGGAAGCGGCCCGTAGCAGCTGTCTAACTCCCAGGTACCTATTTACTACTAGGTAACAGGGGCATCAGGGTGAAAAACATTTTGCACATTTGTCTCCGCCTCCACCGGGGATCGAACTCAGGACCTTAAGACTACGAACCTGAAGCGCTGTCCACCCAGCTGTCAGGCGCCCAGGGTAGATATAAATAAAAAATCTTCCTCATATTGGCAAATAGGTATTATGCAGTTTCATTTATTCTCAAATTTTCTTATGTACAGTATAGTAAGCACACTAAATCAACGTAACCTAAACACCTTACCAAGGCCTAATTATACATATGGTGGTCAACATTCTTGGCTTACAACTGAGGGACCTGGACAAACACAAATAGTTGAGCACACATATATTGGAGGGGTGACAGGTAAACTTCTATCATGGATGAAAAATTTTCTGACTGATAGAAAAATGAGGGCAGTAATCAGAGGCAATATATCGGAATGGAGAAATGTCACAAGTGGAGTACCACAGGGTTCAGTTCTTGCACCAGTGATGTTTATTGTGTACATAAATGATCTACCAGTTGGTATACAGAATTATATGAACATGTTTGCTGATAATGCTAAGATAATAGGAAGGATAAGAAATTTAGATGATTGTCATGCCCTTCAAGAAGACCTGGACAAAATAAGTAGATGGAGCACCACTTGGCAAATGGAATTTAATGTTAATAAATGTCATGTGGAATAGGAGAACATAGACCCCACACAACCTATATATTATGTGAGAAATCTTTAAAGAATTCTGATAAAGAAAGAGATCTAGGGGTGGCTCTAGATAGAAAACTATCACCTGAGGCCACACAAAGAATATTGTGCAAGGAGCCTATGCTACGCTTTCTAACTTCAGAATTGCATTTAAATACATGGATGGCGATATACTAAAGAAATTGTTCATGACTTTTGTTAGGCCAAAGCTAGAATATGCAGCTGTTGTGTGGTGCCCATATCTTAAGAAGCACATCAACAAACTGGAAAAGGTGCAAAGACATGCTACTAAGTGGCTCCCAGAACTGAAGGGTAAGAGCAACGAGGAGAGGTTAGAAGCATTAAACATGCCAAAACTAGAAGACAGAAGAAAAAGAGGTGATATGATCACTACATACAAAATAGTGACAGGAATTGATAAAATCGACAGGGAAGATTTCCTGAGACCTGGCACTTCAAGAACAAGAGGTCATAGATTTAAACTAGCTAAACACAGATGCCGAAGAAATATAAGAAAATTCACCTTCGCAAATAGAGTGGTAGACAGTTGGAACAAGTTAAGTGAGAAGGTGGTGGAGGCCAAGACCGTCAGTAGTTTCAAAGCGTTATATGACAGAGTGCTGGGAAGACGGGACACCACGAGCGTAGCTCTCATCCTGTAACTACACTTAGGTAATTACTTAGGTAATTACATTTCCCTAGTGGATACAATATCCAATGTTAAATAAGTGATATCAACACTGAATTAATGTTAGTCTTGGATATTGTGCCCTCTGGGTCTAATGAGACTTCACCTAGCAGGGAAATAGGTACCTGGAGGTTAAACAAGTGTTGAGTTTGCATCCTGAGGAAGATCAGTATATGGCCTTAGGCGACCTGGATAAACCCAAGTAATGAGCTTCCTGAATTATGAACCCACAATATATAATTTATACGGGAGAGAAACCCTTTATTATACTGTATAAAATATTTACTGTGCTATGCCAGTCAATTACCAACCTATTAAAATCTGCCATCATTTGACAAATATTGGGTTGCTCACCCCTTGATGGTTTCACAATGCCATGGTGCCTTGGGGCTGGTGGGGGTTGTAGTGGGCAGGAGCACAAGGTAGAAAGGGTTTTGAATCTGTATTAGAGAATGTTTGATGCAGTAGGTCTTTTTGCTGAAAAGAGGGAGTACCGCTTGGGATAACACCCTTCCATTCACCGGCAATGTCCAGCCTTCCTTGTTACCCTGGTGGGTGGTATCTTTTGCCTCTGGGGGCCCAAATTTTATTAAAATGTTCAAACTCAAACCAGTGAGATGAACGACCAAGTCCTCCAAGTTGGACTGTGGTGGAAGATAAGGCTCAGAAGCTATGGCAATGTTGTGCTCTGACCCTGCTTATCCTCTCCATTCTTCAGTCACTTCCTTGACAGGGACGACTTCCAAGACCCCAGTGATGATTACCACATCACTTGCAGTGACAATTTTGCTTGTTACAACTACACATTGTGCCCACCTTACTTGGGGACCACAGTGCCATCCTCACTGTCGAATAAGTGTTTCCCTCCGCTGCTGCTACTTAAAGTTGGTATACATTTCGCTTTATTGCTTTATTACGTGCCCAAATATTTTGAATGCCATGATGATCTTACCTACCCTGATGATTTACACGTGCATAAACACCTTGTCGACTCTGGATACACATTACCTTCAAACCTGCCTGTGCTGGTGTATGCGTAATTGAGGAGGTCCCTTCTAAGGTGGCGGCCGACTGCCCAGCTGCCCTGTCTCACATTGATGAGATCCTGGTTCGTATCTTTAGACATGTCCAATTAAATGCCAGCTTCGGCATTCATCCTTCTGTACCATGTTCCTACTCGAGACATAACTTTAAGACTGCCATGAAGACATTAAAAATATATTTAATCAAATAAAGAGTAAGATGAAAACATGGAACACCATTTTTCAGATATTAACTTCAAAGAAGAACTTGAATAAGAAACCATTATTCCTAGTCACTGACAATGGAGTACTATCAACCACTGAGACTTCTATTAAATTCAATAGTTTCTTCCCATCCTTTGCAAATGAAATCCCAGCCTCCTTAACAGTGTTAAAATGACTACCTAACAGGCAGCTAGTACCTAACTCTATCTAATTCCTCAGATGTTAATTATATAATCCTTTCACTTAAAATTATAGTAAATGACGTACCCTTGCTCCTCGCACAATATCCTTTGTGATCCTCTGGTGACAGTCTACTATCCAGACCCACCTCTTAAAACTTTTTTTTCAAAATTCCACATAATTTGTAGGCTGTGTGACCTATTTTCTCATATTCCACATTTCATACAAGACATTTACTCACCCTGAATTCCATTTGCCAAGTATTGCTCCATACACTTATTTTGTCGTCTCTTCTTCCCATGTAGCTTAGCATCATCAGCAGTATGTTTACATCAAAGTTGTCAGATTAAAACCGAACTGTGAAGCCAAACAAAAGAGCCCCCCCCCCCTTCCCAACTAAAAAAAAAACACCATTTAGACTTAATTCAGTTTTACCAACTCAGAGTGGAATTTCTGTGGTCTGACAATTTTTTGTTTTAATTGTTTTAAATGATATACACACAGCAACTTGAAGCTCTGCGGCTTTGACTTTATAAGATAAGATAATGTTTATTCAGGTAAAAGTATATGCATTCAAAGTGAGTTACAAACATAATGTTGGATTTCTAGATAAGAGCTAATACATACTATGCCTAAAGTCACTAATACGCACAGCGTTTCGGGCAAACGAAACGTTATCATTTATTTTGGTTTGAAATAAGTATCAAATTGAGTTGTATTGAGATGGAGTTCTCACACGCTGCTTCTTTGAAATTTGTTATGATTTGAGAGGTTGCTCATTCTCGGGAACAATATTACAATGACAAAGTTTGTTATATGCCGAATCTGAGCCATCAACAGCTTTTTTAACCTAACAAGAAGCCTCTTCCCATTTACTATTGTACTTACGACTTCTTATGACTTATGACTAATATCAAGTGCATCAGACGTGAACGAGAACGAAACACGTACTTCTGGATATGCAACTTATTTTGAATGATTTCGGGGGCTTAGCGTCCTCGCGGCCCGGTCCTCGACCAGGCCTTCTTTTTGTTACACATCCCCAGGAAGCAGCCCGTAGCAGCTGTTTAACTGCCATGTACCTATTTACTGCTAGGTGAACAGGCGGCATCAGGGTGAAAGAAACTGCCCATTTGTTTCCGCCTCCATCGGGGATCGAACCCGAACCTCTGGACTATGAACCCATAGTGCTGTCCACTCAGCTGTCAGGCCCCATAATGGTTTTATGTGGCCTGAAAGGACTTAACGTGAAAAGGACTTATGTTTGTATATGCTGTATGATACACATTACTCTCTATGATAATCAATACATAATGATAACCTACATAATGATGTAGGTATGACAAGCTAAACTGATACTCTGAAGCTATCCAGGTAAAAACAAAAACAGAAAAAGCTGAAATATCAAATAGATATAATACAGCCTTCCAAGCGGGGAAAAACACCACGGAAAAAATAAGCCAAGCTGATATAAACCCAACCACGTTGAAAGTCAAATTTCAGGCATTTGGCTTTAAAAAAAAAAACAATCTAGCAACCCTTTATATGGTTGTAGTCTTTCTGGTAGATGATTTATATAGACGATGAACATTGTTGATGCAAGAGCTGAACTGTGTGTGTGTGTGTGTACTCACCTAGTTGTGATTGCGGGGGTTGAGCTTTGGCTCTTTGGTCCCGCCTCTCAACGGGAAAGGACGTCCTGTTAAGAGGTGTGTGGAAGGACGTGTGGGTTGAGGACGGACGGACGGAAAGGTTGGAAGGGACGGAAGGTTTGAGGACGTGTGTGTGTATGTGTTTGTGTTTCATTAGGCTACCTGAGAGGTTCACAGGGAAATTTGTTACTAATAGTGGTGAACAAGTAATTATATCCCGATATGCTTCATTACAAAAAAAAATAAACAATCAAAGTCATTCAATCCAAAAACACAAGTTGAGTTGTTATTGTATAAGATAATCTCTCTAATCCAAGAACTAATCTCTCTCATCTCATTTTTTTCTTTCTTGCAATGTATTTGTTATCATTTTATTAATTCCGCTAGAATTTACCTACTTAAAATGATCTGTTAGATTAAGGACCTGCCCGAAACGCTGCGCGTACTAGTGGCTTTACAAGATTGTAAATACCATGTATTCTCACAAACACAATGTACCTTCTTGTATATAAATAAATAAATAAATAAATAAAAGATAATTAAGTTAGCGAAGGTGAGACAGCTGCTGCCGGCCCCAGACGTCGCATCCTTGCAGCTTTAAATTGTAATCAAATGGGTGTACCTCGCTCAGTGGCTGCTTGCCTGCTGTTCTGGGAGGATGTGTGCAGGTGGGTGGCCAGAGGCAATCTCTTTATCTTCTATGGTATTGTTATTTTTGTATGTAGGAAGGTGTTATTGTGTTGCTCTTTTGTGTTTTCGTGTATATTTGTGTTGTCACCCGTGGGTGTTGCGCAGACTTGGCGACACTAGCGCAGTGATCGACCAGTGATACATCTATGGGGCTCCAGGAAGTGTTCACGGTCATTGAACAAAAGGAACGGCGCCGGTGAAGGTTACTCTATTGTATTTTCACACAAATTTCACTTATACAGTACAGTGAAGTAATTAAAAGTGATTTTGTTGTATGTGTTATCTAGTATCAATCGTGCGGGATTTGTGTCGGCTGATATATTTATAAGTGTGTAGAAATTAATATTATGTCATCAGGTGCCCAATGTGATAATGAGTAATGTATTTCAGCATAGATTATTCGTGAACGAATTCACATGCTGGATAATGTACATTTCATTATTAAGTCAGTTTAAGCACCGTTTAATCTGTCAGTAACTGGATGGGTGACCACGTGGCCTAACAACCTTTGAACTTGGTAAAGAATTCTTGTCCCAGACATGTATTTCATATCACAATAATTAATACCAAGTTTCAGGACGTATGGAAAAGCCTCAAACACTGACAACAACGATGTAGAGCTGAAACTCACTCTTAGAGTGTATATTATTTTTTCAAACTTTACATGAATTGTATTTACAGGTTTATAGTCGTTTCTTCTTGATGATGCGTTCAGTTTGCACGAAGGGTTTCTCCATCCGGCGACTGCATGAGTGTTAATGTTAATTAATGTCGGAAGACGTCACATTGGCATGATAGTGATGAAATTGGCAAAGCTTGACAATCGTGATTTCCAGCGTTTGTCTGGGCGGGTACTAAAACACATGATTTAGTGAGATGTACACTGTCAAATGTGTCTCAACTTGTTGGTTGAGTGGAGATATTTAGCCAATATTTCGGCTATTTGATATTTAATATATAATGAGAGCTCTCCTTCCCGTAATATATGATCCATATTGAAATAATAAATTTTTCGTGCCATATGAGGAATTTTAGATGTTGTGTAATGCGAGTTGTATCCTACATTTGCTTTTGTCAGTTGATCTATAAGTTTATTGTGAAGTATCCCAAATGTCTGGGACCCATGAAATGTGATATCCTTTTAAATGACGTTTATGGAGAAGTTGAAGGCATGTGTGGACAAGCTCTTTGCACGTTTTGTTATAGTATGTAATTGCTTGAATGACTTTTGAAGGCACTTCAGAGTGTCTATATCCCATCTGGTATCGTTGCGATTATTTTAAGAGCTTGGTCCCAGGCATATAATTCAGACTGGCAAATGCTTTTTAATGTCGAAAAATGCAAGCTCTTGCATGTAGGGCATAACAATGCACAACACAACTACCAAATTAACAACATCAGCTTGAAGCAGAGTGATGAATAAAAGGACCTTGGAGTCAGAATCCACTTCAGAATCCACCATTCACTGAAAGTTGCTCAAGAAGTGGAAGCTGCAGTAAAAAAAAATCAAACTAAATCCTCAGAATACTCAAACAAAATTTTGTCATCAAGGAAAAGAAGTTAGTTGTACATATGCATGAATCTCTGGTGTGCCTACACCTATTGTATGGTCAAAGAGGGATGGTGACACATATGTATGCATGTGTCGGCGGTGTATGCAAGGCTGGCTAACACCAGAACCGCCTTCAGAAACGTGTAAGGTTTCTGAATTCGTATTACCCATTCACAAGACGGGTAACCCAAATCCTCATCCTGACCCCCTTCCAAGTGCTATATAGTCGTAATGGCTTGGCGCTTTCCCCCTGATGGTTAACTAACTTTTAGAACCTTGTATACCACATATGTAAGACCAATCCTGGAGTATGCTGCCCCAGCATGGAGCCCGTATTTTGTCAAGCACAAGACGAAAATGAAAAAGTTCAGAGGTATGCCACCAGGCTAGTCCCAGAACTAAGAGGCATGAGTTACGAGGAAAGGCTGAGGGAACTGCATTTACGTCGCTGGGAGACAGAAGAGCCCGAGGAGACATGATCACCACATACAACATTCTCAGGGGAATTGACAGGGTAGACAAGGATGGATTATTTAAAACGGGTGGCACACGCACAATGGGACCCTGGGGGGTAGAAATAGCCTAAGCTACTCTATTCCTTTGAGATGTATTTTTTTTCTTGTCTCAATAAACTTACTTGAACTTGAACTTGGGAAGTTCACAGGTGGAAGCTGAGTACTCAAATGAGCCACAGAGACATTAGAAAGAACTTTTTCAGTGTCAGAGTTGTTAGTAAATGGAATGCACTAGGAAGTGATGTGGTGGAGGCTGACTCCATACACAGTTTCAAATGTAGATATGATAAAGCTCGAGAAACTCAGGAATCTGTACACCAGTAGATTGACGGTTGAGAGGCGGGACCAAAGAGCCAAAGCCTAACTAACCTCGCAAGCACAAATAGGTGAGTACAAGCAGGGAGGGTGACACAGGCAAGCAGTTAACGTTAGACCTTTCGGTGTATGGAGAGAGCGAGAGAAGAGGGGGCAGTATATTCTAGTTAAAGTAGCGCTACCGTTTTCTCTTCTCCCTCTTATCTTGTTCCTTCCCTCCGTTCCTTGCCTCTCATACTGTCCCTACCATCCTGTCCATCCCCTCCTGTGCCTTCCATCCTGTCCGCCCCATCCTGGGCCTCACATACTGTTTTTTTTCCTTTCATTCTCTCTCATATTGTCACTTCCATCCTGTCTGTCCCATCCTGTGCCTCCAATTCTGTGTCTTCCGTACTATCCCTCTCATCCTGTCCGTCTTATCCTGTCCCCTCTCTTCCCTTGCCTCTCATACTGTCGATTCCATCCTGTCATACACATACCGTCCCTCTCATTCTGTCCCTCACATCCTATCTCTTACTCCTATCCCTTCCATCTCATTCCTTTCGTACTGTCCCAGACATGCTATCTCTCTCATACTGTTCTTTCCATCCTGTCCTTTTCATATTCTCCCCTCACCACATGTCCTTCTCATAAAGTCCGTCAGTGCCTGTCCCTTTTCCCCTATATCATACCCTTTCTTTCCCTCGAGCCTTTTAGACAGCTAGACAGGTACGTCTCTGTTGCTGGCGTTCATAGACTTAGCGCTCAGTTAGGCCTTTTATTACCTCTGTCTGTTGCTGTCTTCCAATCACTTGGGCTGGACGGTAGAGCGACGGTTAATGTATAATGCTTAACTGTAAATATATAGCTATTGAAATAAAATATTTTCTCTAACTAGCTGACATTATAATTATAAGGTGTGAAGGATAGATTAATTGTTAATGTAATCATGACCGTTGAGGTCTGATTAAGACCTGTGCCCTCTGTAATCCTTTTTGCGCTACCACTCACAGGATAAGTATGGGGTGCACTTTAAACTAGCCGCCTCTGGCGGCAACAATCAAAATCAATCATATCGAGGTACCCCCCTTTACTGACTCTTCACAGGATGCAACCCACAATAGTTGCCTAACTCTCGGACCGACCGACACGGGCTCGCTGAACAGAGGCGTCATGTGAAAGGAAACGTGCCCAAGCGTTTTTGTCCTTCCCTAAGATAAAACCAAGCCCCATTCCTCATTAACTTTGCAGACAGACACACATAAAAAAGAGCCAAGTGTATGACGTGTTTGGTGTGTGATGTGTAGTGTGTTATGGCTTAGCTTTAGTATGTTGCTGTTGTTATAGATTCAGCTACTCGGAACAACTTCCTATTAGCACGGGCTATGGTGAGCCCGTAGCTTAGCGGGCACAGGAGCGGGGCAAGTAGCCCGGGCTATGGTGAGCCCGTAGTGGACTTACCTGGCACAGGATCGGGGTCAAGCGTTAGTAATTTGACTAAACCACACACTAGAAAGTGAAGGGACGACGACGTTTCGGTCCGTCCTGGACCATTCTCAAGTCAAAATCGACTTGAGAATGGTCCAGGACGGACCGAAACGTCGTCGTCCCTTCACTTTATAGTGTATGGTCTGGTCAACATATTTCAGCCACGTTATTGTGACTCCTCGTCTAGCTTTAGTAACGCATGCGGGTGATAAGGTTTTCACTTAGTCATGCAGGAAAAGGATGTTTTTGCTGGTGTGAGGCTGTGTGTAGGTGATAATTAGGTTCTTGTGTTGTATTGTTAAGTGAGACTGATGGTTGAGTAATTTAATGTGAATTTATGTGTATTCTCTTAGATTTACTGGCAGGGTAGAGCTTCAGTTCCACTTCTGATGGGTGTTTGTGTTTGAAAGTAGGCTGTGTACGTATAGCAGTGTGTAATTATCTAAGTGTAGCTACAGGATGAGAGCTACGCTCGTGGTGTCCCGTCTTCCCAGTACTCTGCATGACACTTAACAACTACTGACGGTTTTGGCCTCTACCACCTCACTTAACTTGTTCCAACCGTCTTCCACTTTCTAATATATTTTCGGCACTTTAGTTTCCTTAATTACGGGCTATTCATGCCCGTGCCACCTCTTGGGTGGCTTAATCTTCATAAATCAATCATTTCCTTAATTTTAATCTATGATCTCTTGTTCTTGAGGTTACAGGTTTGAAGAATTCCTCTTTGTTAAGTTTGGGTAAGTTAGGATATGTTAGGTTCGGTCGGGTTGAAGTGGGTTGGGATAGGTTAGTTCAGTTGATTTTACGTTGAAATTGAAATTGAAATTGAAATAAGTTTATTGATGTAAAATACACACAAAGGGATGAGGTAGCTCAAGCTATTCTCACCCCGTTCAGTACATCGTGTTAATACATACATATACACACATCACAAACAATAAACATATTACCAAACATTCTGAGAGATAAACATCTACATTTCCTCCTTTACACAAGTAGTATGGTATCAGACGTACACACAAATACTTTTATGACCGAGGTATACTGTATAGACAATTTTGATTTTACATAAACAGTAGCGACGACGGAGAGTGGTGAAAAATTGCTCATGTTCCAACTCCCTTTA